GTGAACCATCGGGTGGAAGATCTTCCTCTCTGTCTCTCCTCCTCTCTGTATATCTGACTTTTCAATAAAAATAGATATATTTTTTTTTAAATGGGTTATGTAATTATATATGGACTAGAATATGAGATTTTGATATGTATACAATGTGTGCTATGTAAATGGGGACAATTAGCTTATTTGTCACTTCAGATAAAGTCTAACTTTCAAAGTCTGCTTTCTACTTATTTTGTTTTAAAGGTTTTAGTTTTTTTTTTTTTTTGAAAGACAAAGAGACGTTTTTCCATCCATTGGTTCATTCCTCCAGTGTCCGCAATGGCCAGAGGTGATCTGATCCAGAGGCAGGAGCCTGGAGCTTTTCCCATGTGGGTGCAGGGCCCTGAGGACTTGGGCCATCCTCTGCTGCCCTCCCAGGCCATAAGCAAGAGAGCTAGATTGGAAGTGAAGCATCTGTGCTATAGGGATGCTGGTGCTGCAGGTAGAGGCTTAGTGTACCATACCACAGTACTGGCCGTATCTACCTATTTTTGAACTGTACAATTGATTATTGTTAATTATGCTCACTCTGCTGTAGTATAGAACACTAGAACTGAATTGTTCCATCTCATTGAAATTTCATACATGTTCACCAACCTTTTTCTGCTCTTCCCTCCCTTCTGTATTCCAAGCTTTTATGTTCTAGTTGGTTATTTTTTTTTAAGATTTATTTTTATTATTATTTTATTGGAAAGGCAGATACACAGGAGAGACAGAGAGGAAGATCTTCCGTCCAATGAGTCACTCCCTAAGTGAGCGCAACGGCTGATGCTATGCCGATCCGAAGCCAGGAGCCTCTTCTGGGTCTCCCACGCGGGTGCAGGGTCCCAAAGCAGGGAGCTGGATGGGAAGCGGGGCTGCCGGGATAGAACTGGCGCCCATATGGGATCCCAGGCGTGCAACGCGAGGACCTTAACCACTTGTGCCACCGCACCGAGCCCTCTAGTTGGTTATTCAATATTTCCTTATATGTAGCCAAAGGAAAGTAGATGGCATGGCCTCAGAGTACTCAAAGTCTAATGGAAAATGAGAGGTTGTTTATGATCACTGTAATTGTGTGTTTTGCTTGGTATAGGGAGCAAAAGTTAATCCAGTTGTAACTTGTAACAGTTGTATTGTGTTCCTTCCCATGATTGGTGTGCCCGACTCTGCTGCCCAGATTTTATTCTTGCCCCAGATTTCCTTCCAGAATCCATCTAGAAGGACAGTAAAAACAAAAATAATTGTTTACTGTGATATGGGTGAAGAGAATAGGAGAAGAGAGTGTGCAAGCAGTTTCAGTGCACATTCAGAAGATGGAGGTGCAGGAGAGAGGTTCCTGGTAAGAATAGCAGTAGGTGAAACCTGAGTTTGCAGAATGGATTGTCTCTGAGAGTTGAACCTGTTTCCCTCTAAAAATCTCAGACTGTCGGAGTTGAGAGAAGTGCGAGTAGAATACGCTGGCTTGGGCCCAGGGCTTGTGGCATAGCATGTTTGGCTGTCTGTGATGGTAGCATCACATTTGGGCACTGATTCAAGTCCTAGCTGCTGCACTTCCTGTGCAGATCCCTGCAGATGTGACTGGGAAAGCACCACAAAATGGCCTATGTGCTTGGACCCCTGAACCCATGTGGGAGAGAGACCTGAATGAAGCTCCTGGATTCCGTCTGTCTCAGCCCCAGCTGTTGCAGCCGTGTGGAGAGTGAACCAGCACATGGAATATCTGATCTGTATCTCTACCTTTAAATAAAATTTTAATACACAGAATAAAAGGCAAGGAATTGGTATTTCACATAGGAAGTATCAAAGATTGCCTCAAGATTGTTCTTTATCTCTAATTGCCATGAAAACATAACCCCCATCTCCTGGGGAGAAGAATAAGCTGATATTTACATTTGTTTTGCTACAAATTAAGCCAGAATGGCCTCTGTTCTTGTCAGGGGTGACAGGAAAAGTTGAAACATGAGAATAAAGAAGGTGGATTCAGTGAAGTCCAAATATGAAACTCCCTTCCTCTGCCCTGCTCTTGGAATGCTTATGGCCTGACTCATACCCCTCGGACAAGAGATCAGAAGATTTTTCTTTGGATAAACACATTGCCTTGGGAGGAAAATACTTCAGATATCCTGCTCCCCATCTGTAGTCAAGACTGACCTATCTCTTGTTCGCTTTTAAAATAGTTGGAGGTATGAGTAGACCCAAAGGATTATCAGATGTTTGAGGAAAATCAACTTACAAGATTTAACTTCCACTGTGTAGGGAGAAAAAGAAACCAACCAAAAAACCCAGCCTACACGTAAGCACACTGTATAATCTTCAGCGAGAGACGATAAGTTGGATCCATAAAGCATGAATAGAATTCTCAGAGGACAGTAAGAATCATTGGGTAGTCAGAATTTTTAGATTACTCAACTGGGCAGGCACTTGGTGCAGTGATAAGACAGCCCTGAGCATGTCTGTATTCCTAGTTGACTGCCTGAATTCAAGTTCCAGTTCTACTTTGATTGCAGCTTCCTGCTAACGTAGAGTCTGGAAGGCTCAAGTAGTTGGATTCCTGCAACAGCATATCCAGGTGCACATGGAGGATATGGCAGTCCATTCGAGCCTGCAGAGGACTCCTGGTACCACAACAGAGGACAGAGTATAGAACAAATCAGTCAACCACCCCAGCCATGCATTGGCAGTGAAAATATGGGCAAACGGAGACTCTAAAGTGAACTATGTCAGTCAGTGGATTCTGGAGAGATTTCATCGTGCTTGGAGTGGTGGGATTTGCAGCAATTCAGAATTGTTGAAGTATCAAAATCACCTGAGCAAGACCCTTGGAGCATGCCCACATCAGGGATGTGGGACTGGTGGGAGGCTGGTGGGGCTTCTCCCTTTATCTCCCCCTTACCCCAGATACAGAAAAAAATTTATGTAATAATAATGTGGAAACAATGGTCTTACCCAGTTTCCTATAGCCCTTAACCCTTTGTGCCCTAATCAACTGTGTAAAGGTGATCAAGCTAAAATAATTTTAAAAAGCCACAAAATACTGTCCATTCATATTAACCCTGAATGTAAATGGCTTAAGCTCATTAAACAAACATCATAAATTGGTAGACTGGATTAAAACAACAAAGCCCATTCATTTATTGCCTACAGGAGACATATCTCACTAAAAAATATCAGTGGGAACTTTACCTCATGGATTTTTTCTTTTTTAGTGTAATTTCTTCAAAATTCATTACATTCTTTAATGACTCATAGATCATACAGTAGCATCATTTTCAAGAAGGTTCTTGATTTTCTTCGGTGACACATTAGTCATTCATCAGCATGTTTTATTAACTTCATGGTGTTAATTTCTTGTTTCTTGTTGATTTTGTTTTGTGGCTTTTCATTTAAGTGGATGTATAATAACTGTAATGGAGACTATCATATCTAGTAGCATGTTATTTAGCTTCATGGCATTGTAAATTTCTATTTTTCTTCCTGTTACTGATTTTGTATTCTGGTTTTTTTCATTTAGGGGGATGTATAGTAACTGTAATGGAGACTCTCATATCCAGATTTGAAGATACAATGCACTCACTATGCATCTCTTTCCAGACTAAAGATGAACTCCCAATTAAACTGTTTACTATATCTTGATAATAGGATGCTGGACTCTGCTATTGTCCATGCCTGCAGTGATGGCCATATGACTGTGAAGAACTGTACTGTATTAATGATATGGGGGAACTCAGGAAGGAGGAATTTGGGGAGGGGATATGGGAAATCCCAGGGCCTATGGAAATGTAACATAAAATGATAATAATAGTAATAATAATAAGAGACTGAAAAAAATAAGAAAAAGATCCTTAAATGTGTTTGTTAAAAAAAAATTTAATGGACATATAAAGGAATGGAAGTTAAATTCACAGCTCACCTCTCACTGCAAACTCTACAGGCCAGATGAGAATGGAGTGACGTATTCCAGATTCTAAAAACAAAAAATTGTTGGCTTAGGAGAACGTACTCAACAAAACTTTACTTTGTCTTTGAAAATGAAATAAAATTCTTCCACAGTAAACAAAAGTTAAAAGAATATGCCTCATCCAAACCTGCCCTACAAATGATACTCTTGTTCTCTTGACAGAGAAAAGGAATAGCGCCCACCAAAACCAAAGGCAAATGCGAAGAACATCCCAGTCAAATAACAACAGAAGACTAAGTCAATGAACAACCCATTGCTAAATGACAGGACAAAATTACCACCTATTTATATTAACTCTGAATGCATCTGCTGGAGCTAGGCCAGATTGAAGCTTATGGCTGAAAACTCAATCTAGGTCCCTTGGTTGCACATTAGCAGGAAACAGAGCTAGAAGCAGGCATTCAAAACAGGGCTTGGCTATCCAAGTGGATGTGCCAATCAGCTTCATAACCTGTGTGCCAGACACCAAACCCAGGGAATGCAATTGTTTTGTGGCTGGCATGTTTCAAAAATAGTTTACAATAGGAGTGTAGAAATGGTGGTTTTAAAATGTGGCAGCTGTTAACTTCAACAAAAAGGTTATCAGTGGTGTTTTGCAAAAAAAAAAAAAAAAAGCAAGTGGTGACCATTGTAAACTCCTTGTCTTTACATAAAGTGTGTATGTAGTTTAAGTAGTGTAATTTTGCTTCCTGTGTTCGTGTGTTCATAATGGTGGTTGGTCATGATGTACTTGTTTGCCAGCCTGCTTGGTCAGTATCTGAGATACAGCCTGCAATTTCTGACTCTCTTTAATGGTTGACTCTTCACGTCTGGTGCTAAGCAGTTTGTGTGCTCTTCACTGCCTGAACCCACCTCTGCCTTAGGCAGGGTAGCCTGTTTCTTCTAGCAGTATCCTGTTAGCCACAGTTTTTAGGGGAAACCTTTATTCCAGAGTAACTTTGTGCCTAACCTGTTTATGAAAAAATAGATGAGTATAAGTGCCTTTATTAACTTTGTTTAAATAAGCTGATGTTTTAATGCCCTCTAGGAAGTAAAAAGAAAGAAAAAGAACGTCCAGAAATTTCTCCTCCCTCTGATTTTGAGCACACCATCCATGTTGGCTTTGATGCTGTTACTGGAGAATTCACTGTAAGTTTCCTTAGTTCAGACCTTTTTTCTTTTTTCCCTCTTAGAGATTAGTTCAGAGATAGCTTTTCTGTCCCTAACAGAGTTTTTACTGCTTTTTGCTTTTTAGTGAGTGGGTGTGTCTTTGTAGGAAACTAACTGTATTTGTTAGTATTCTACATTGTAAAAAAGTAAGCCTTTTGTAATATAGTCAAACCCACAGTTGTGTAGACGCCAGTCTCTGTATTTTGTCATTTATCCCTGAAAACTGATTTTATTAGCACAGTTGAAACCACAGCTAACAGCTGAATGTCTTTCTGGCAGGGCATGCCGGAGCAGTGGGCACGGTTGTTGCAGACCTCCAATATCACCAAACTTGAGCAGAAGAAGAATCCTCAGGCTGTACTGGATGTCTTAAAGTTCTACGACTCCAACACAGTGAAGCAGAAATACCTGAGCTTTACTCCTCCTGGTAAGAGGCAGGCAGTGGTAAAAGACTCACAGGGAAAGAGGAGGGTGGACCACTTCCTGATGAAAAGGTAACACAAAAGTAAAAGGCTGAGCTGTGGTTTCTCTTTCCACTTTCTACCCATGCCCAGATTTTGCCTTTGTAAACTCATTAGGGTGGCTTGGAAGCTTCATTTGGAGAGTCTTTGGCTCATTGCGATGCCACAGTGGAGTTGATAAATCTATTGGCTTTTGTTTTCTTTTACTTTTTTTCATTCTCACTGCTTTTAATAAGTTCCAGCAACAGAAGCAAAAAGTACAAATTATAGGCATGCTAATATTAGAAATTAATGAATTTTTAGTGGGACAGAAGGAAGGCTGCTTCACTGTATAAATGAACAGGCTTAAAGGAAAACAAGTCTACTCAGAAATTGAAATTCCAATCATGTAAATATGTAGATTGTAAAAAAGAAATAGAACTGAAAGGATTTATTCCTTAGAATCACAATTTCACCTGGTGAGAATTGGAGTGTAGTGGGTCTTTTAAAAAATTTTATGGAAAGTTCACACATTATGGTTGGTTGATGTCTTCACTGTCCTTTTATTTGTAAGCTCCTTGCTGTCATGCTTGTTCTTACTCTCTTTTCCTGTAATTTATTGAATAAAGATTTTAATAATTATGTCCCCAGGATGGCATTTAATGATGGGTGGCAGTAGTCTACTATTTGAGTGTTTTATTCTTGCCTCCCAGGGTCTGCATTGGCAGGGACCTGGTATCAGGAGCCAGATCCAGGAGTCAAACCCAGCAATCCAGTATGGGACATATTGTCTTAAGAGCTGCCTCTCATGTAGCATCTGGTTGGGCTAGCTGTGCTTAATGTTTGCATCCCTGTGAATTAAAGAGCTGGATTGCAAGTGGTGTTGACCTTTTATACCGCAGTGCGTCAAATAGTAAATCTGTATCTTTTTTTTTTAAGTCAACCTGTTTGGAGAATAATAACTTCTCATTAAGCAAGTTTAAATTTACAGCTCTCCTGTGTTGGTGCAGGGTCCCAAAGCTTTGGGCCATCTTCCACTGCTTTCCCAAGCCATACACAGAAAGTTGAATTGAAAGTAGAGCAGCTGAAACACAAATGGCCAACCATGTGGAATTGCAGCACTTGCAGGAGGAGGATTAGCTAAGTGAACCATCATGCTGGCTCCTCATTTAGTAATTTTTTTTAAAACAGTGTTAGGCCAGGAAACAGTAGATTGTTTTCATGCATTGTTGGGTATGTGAATACACTCATTAGCCTCTAGGCATTTGTAAAAGTAAACGTGAAACTTGCTAAGTCAGGAATTTTATTTTATACAGTAGCCATTGTTTGAATGATGACTTTAATATAATAAATCCTTCAGTGGAAAGTTTTCTGGAGAAGGTGAATGACAGTAAACTTACAGAGCTCAATTAGGTTTTGAGATACATTAGCTTAATCAGTAAATTCTTGCTTGAATACTGGTTTTCTCATTTGCTTGCTTTAATTCAGCTTAATAGGAAATCAGTTTAAGATGACCTCATTTGCTCTATATTTTTAATCATATAAACATTTTATTTCTTGAATTGTTAACATTATTTTTTGCTTTATATTCAGAGAAAGATGGCTTCCCTTCTGGAACACCAGCAGTAAGTTATCATTTATTTCTTATGTAATACAAGCCTCAGTGTTCATTTTGCTTTCTAAATTATATTTCCGTCAGAAGTAAATAAGTACTTGAAGAAGACATAATAAGTAAATTTAATTTTCTTGATGAGATAAAGTAACTATATGTAATGACCCCAGAGGTAGCATGTTTCCATACATAAACAAGGATGAAGAACTTAAGCAGCATATTCCTTGTCATCCTTTTTTTTTTAAGATTTGTTTTTATTGGAAAGTCAGATATACAGAGAGAGGAGGAGAGACAGAGAGAAATAACTTCCATCTGCTGATTTACTCCCCACGTGGCCGCAAAGACCACAACTGTGCTGATCCGAAGTAGGAGCCAGGAGCTTTGTCTGGGTCTCCCACACAGGTGCAGGGCCACAAGCAGGGAGCTGGATGGGAAGCAGGGCCACTGAGATTAAGCACTAGCATCCATATGGTATTCCAGCGGCTCGTGCAAGGCAAGGATTTTAGTTGCTAGGCTACTGCACTGGTCCCCTTTTTCATCTTCTGTATCATTCTACTATGAATTGAGAAAAATCCTGAGCAACTAAAACTAGCCCGTTTAAAGAGTTGTTTAAGGCTTTGTCATGTTCAGTTCCTCACTTGGGGAAGTCTCTTGCATGAGGAGTAACTTTTTTTTTAAATACTTGCCTTTTTGCTTGCTTGGACAACACATATACTAAAATATCTACCTATGGAGGCCAGCGTTGTGGCAAAATGGCTTCAGCTGCCACTTGCTGTACCTGCATTGCTCATAGGAGTTGCTGGTTTAATTTCTGGCTGCTTTGCTGTTTGCTGTTCAGCAGCGATGGACTTGGTGCATGGAGCTGATGATAACATGCATGGACTACTGACTGATAGCCAAAGTTTATTAACAGCATTAGACTTTTAAGGACTGAGGGTCATGTAGGCAAAGGGAAGGAGGGCTTGAGGCATTGACATTTCAACAACTAGTGGGAGTCTCCTTTCCTTGGACTGCTAGTTCCCACTTCCCTTCTTAGGGGAGAAGCACCTCACTTTATTTTGTATACAATCAGTTGTCCTCATACAAATGGTATCCAATCAGTTATTCCATGCAAATTATATCCAATCAATTGTTCTCCTGCACTCCACTTCCAATCTAGCTTCCTGCTAGGGAGATAATTACAGGATGACCCCTGTAATTATCTTGGGCCCCGGCCACCCACATGTAAGACTGGGATAGAATTTGGCTTGCTGGCTTCTGCCAAGCCCAGATCTGGCTATTGTGGCCATTTGGAGAGTGAACCCATAGATGGAAGACTAATCTCTCTTTTTTGCCAACTCTTTCAAAGTTTGTTTTTTTTTCTAAGAATAAAATACTTACATGCCATGTTTATTGATTTTATTTTATTTGATCATCAGATTTACAGAGAAGGAGACACAGAAAGATAATCATATGCTAATGAACTCCTTAAATGGCCACAGTGATTGGAGCTGGGCTGAACTGAAACCAGGAGCCAGCAGGTTTTTTCAGGACTTCCTCATGGGAGCAGGAGCCCAGTCAATATTAATGCTTAAGCACAGTAGCAGGGAGCTGGATCAGAAGCAAAATAACCGGAGGCCTAGTAAGTAAAGTGGCTCGATTGGCTAAATCCTACCCCTTGCAAAGCATTAGGATCACCTAGGGTGCCAGTTTGTGTCCCAGCTACCACTTCCCAACCAGTTCCCTGTTATGGCTTATGAAAGCAGTAGAGGATGGTCCAAAGCCTTAGGGCCCTATATCCAGGTGGGAGACTCAAAAGAGGCTCCTGGCTCTGTGGGCTTTGGATCAGCTTAACTCTGGTTGTTGGGCTACTTGGGGAGTAGACCAGCAGATGGAAGATCTTCTCTGTATGTTTGCTTTTCCAATAAAAATAAATGAATCTTAAAGAAGTGAAGCAGCAAAGAAACCAGTACTCAATGAAATTTTGGCGTCATAGGTGATAGCTTTCTTTTTTTTTTTGCCACTATACTGACCTTACCCTTTTTGCTTTTTCTCTTTTTAAAAAAGATTTATGTATTTTTATTGGAAATTCAGATAAAGAGGAGAGGAGAGACAGAGAGGAAGATCTTCTTTCCGATAAGTCACTCCCCAAGCGAGCCCAACGGCTGGTGCTGTGCCAATCCGGAGCCAAGAGCCAGGAACTTCCTCCAGGTCTCCCACACGGGTGCAGGGTCCCAAGACTTTGGGTCGTCCTCGACTGCTTTCTCAGGCCACAGGCAGAGAGCTGAATGGGAAGTGGAGCTGCTGGGATTAGTACTGGGGCCCATATGGGATCCTGGCGTGTTCAAGGCGAGGACTTTAGCCGCTAGGCCACCATGCTGGGGCCCCCCTTTTGCTTCTTTAATCATTTTTTTTCTGATGATTCGGCTGTAAAACATTTTTTTATTTTGATGTGAAAGGTAAAGCTACTGAGAGTGATCCTACATCCTCTGGTTCATTTCACAAATGGCTGCACAGTAGTCAGGGCTGGGTGATGTCAGAGCTAGGTTCCTGGAAATTTAACCAGGTCTCCCATTGGGCGTCAGGGGCCCAAGTACTTAGGCCATTATCAGCTGCTTCTCTGTGTATATTAGCAGTGAGGTGGATCAGAAGTGGAGCAGCCAGAACACAAGCCAGTGTTCCAATTCGACATACCAATGTTGCCAACAGTAGCTTAGCCTGTTGCATCACCATGCCAGACCCATGACTATTTTAAATGTCCTAAGAATATTGTGATGTATAAAGTCCTGAGAATTGATCTGCTTTTTATTTATTTTTGTTTTATTTAATTTTTAATAATTCTGTATGTAAAGAGATGTAGACTTTTTTCTTCTGGTTCAGCTTTCCAAATGATCACAAAAGCCTTGACTCAACCATACTGAAAGCCAGGAGCCTGGAAGTCCATCTGGGTCTCTCACATTGATGACAGGGACCCAGGCAATGGGACCATCTTCTGTTGTTCTCCCAGATGCATTTACAAGGAGCTGGTTTGGAATTGGAGAAGCTGTGACTTGACCCTGAACCAGTGCTAATATGGTTAAGTGTCTTAACCAGCTATGCCTCAATGCCAGACACTTTATTTTTTTAGAGGGTGGAGAAGGAAAGACTGACAAAGAGACAAAAATGTTCCATCTGCTGTTCATTCCCCAAATGGCTTCAGTGGTCTGGACTGGGACAGGCTAAAGCCAGGATCCAGGAACTGGGTCCCATTATCTCACATGGGGAATGGCACATGTTCCTTTGCTTTTCTGGGTGCATTATCAGGCATCTAGATTGGAAACTGCCAGGATTGGAACTATTGTATGCGATGCTGGTATAATGCACAGTGCCACAATGCCAGCTCATATCTTTTTTTCATCTTACAAGTAAGTACGTTGTTGACTTTTTTTTAAAGATTTATTTTTTAATGAAAGATTTTTACAGAGAGAGGTTTTGTATCCACTGGTTTACTCCCCAAATGACCACCACAGCCAAAGCTGAAATGATGCAAAGCCTGGAGCCAGAGTATCCTCCTGGCCTCCCTTCCCAGGCCATTAACAGAGCGCTGGATTGGAAATGGAGTAACTGGGACATGAACTGGTGTCCATGTGGAATGCCTTTCAAATAAAAAATAAATATTAGAATAATACTCTTGAGAATATTTGTTTATCTCCATATATATTTATTTCATAAACATTCTCATGATTCATAAAAACATTCTTACCTTTAAAATTGTTGTGTTAGAACCAGTGAGGATTAATCATTTTGATTTGAGCTGTTGAATAAATTTTCTAAGATATATTTAATTAAAAAAATGAGGAACAATGTTTGCCTTTTAATTTTATTGGCTTGTCTTCCTTTGTTTACATGACAAATGCAGCTGAATACCAAGGGATCAGAAACATCAGCCGTGGTAACAGAGGAGGATGACGATGATGAAGAGGCTGCTCCTCCTGTTATTGCCCCACGGCCGGATCATACAAAATCAGTGAGTGTTTAGGTGGTGTATGTTCATAAAAACAGTAGTCTGTGTTTGACTTATTTTAATTTGGAAAGTCCTTGAGTTTAAAATATTTTGGAATGAAGAGATTAAACTAGGATTCTGCTTGAAAACTATTTCTAAAAAGCTTTTTTTGTTTTGAGAATTGAAATCTAATGGCTTCTTTAAAGTTAAAACACTGAATTCACTGAGTTTTTTTTTTATTCATCTTAACTATTATTACTGTAAAATTTAGATCTTTCCTTTTACCCGGATTATATATTTTGTCTCCCCTTCCTCTTACATTTCTCTTGAATCGCTGATGTCACTCAGCAGGCAATTGAGAGTGAAATTCCTAACCAGGTAAGAGAGAATTTTGATAATAATGACCTTACATGGAGCCGGAAAGAGGAAGGAGAAAGTACTGTCCTTCTCCCTGTGCTCACAGAAAACAGACTAGGAGTGGATGCTTTGCCATGGAATGTAGTGTGGCAGGTGAAGTTCTGTGCCCTAATCTCAGGTTTGTTAGCTTGTGCTAACGGATTTTCTTTGTTCCTTAGAGTTCATGGCTTGAAATGAAATGTTGACTATTATGTTTCCGTGAGACTTCTTGTGGGTATCAGCAACAGTTGTTTTCAGTAGCCAGGATTTTATTCTCTTGTATTTTACTTACCTTTTATTCTGAAAACATGATTTATAAACTTTACTTATTTCTGCTAACACTGGAAGATCTGGTCAGGCCTAAATTTCATTAGTAGTCCTGCTGATTTGCTAAACTTCAGAATATAAACAGGCTGTGCCAATGAAAAATCTTTAACTTTTTAATTATAGTATTTTTATAGTTGGAAAATATTATTCCCATTTTATAGAACAATGGCAGAGACAGCTTGTTTTTGGTATAAAACAAAATAACTGAATAGAGAGTAAATAAATGTGAAAACATTTTCCCTCAGATTTGTTGCCAGTGTTTGTCACAGCAATTAAATTGATGCTTGGACTGCCTGTATCCCATATTGGAGGCCATGGGTTTGAGTCTTGGCTGCTCTTTTTTTTTTTTATTTTAAACATTCGTCTACTTCCACGTGATAGATTTTTGGAGAGGAGAGAGTGACGTCTTCCATCTACTGGCTCACTCTCTATTGCAGGTTCCTGCTAATGTGTACTCTAAGAGGTACAAGTCAGGCCAGAGATCTCTCTTTGTCAATCTGCATTTCTCTGTGTTGCAAATGAAACAACACTCACAGTGTTGCTATGTGTCTTTGCAGATTTACACTCGATCTGTGATTGATCCTATTCCTGTACCAGCTGGTGATTCTCATGTTGATGGTGCTGCCAAGTCTACAGATAAACAGAAAAAGAAGACCAAGATGACAGATGAAGAGATTATGGAGAAATTACGTATGTTTTCTATATTTTAAAAGTATTTTTTTAAATATGTATTTTTATCAGAAAGTCAAATATACAGAGAAGAGAAGAGACAGAGAGGAAGATCTCCCGACCACTGATTTACTCCCCAAGCAGCCACAACAGTCAAAACCTGAGTCAATCTGAAGCCAGGAGCCTCTTCCGAGTCTCCCATGTGGGTTCAGGGTCCCAAGACTTTGGGCTGTTCTCGACTGCTTTCCCATGCCGCAAGTAGGGAGCTGGATAGGAAGCAAGGCTGCCGAGACATGAACCGGAGTCCATATGGGATCTCGGTGCATGTAAGTGAGGATTTTAGCTGCTAGGTTACCAGGCCCATTTTATAGTATTCTTAAATTGTTAACATTCTCTACAACATTTTTTTTCCAGTGGGTTTTAAACTAGTACCTTATATTTTGACTTCAAGCTGAAGAATGAATTGATTTCTTATAAGAATAGTAGTTTTAATGGAAAACTAGTTAAACCAAAGTAATACTCTTAGTTATTTGTTGGTGCATTTGAAAGGGTTTATCTGTTGACGAGGTAGCAGCATTTTGGCAATAGTATCTTTGGAGGCAGTACCTTTTGTCTTAAACCACATAGTTGGAATAACTATACTTCCCAAGAACACTGACCTAAAGGGAATAAGGAAAGCTGGTTTTTTTTGTTTTTGTGTTTTTTAAAGATTTATTTTATTTTTATTGGAAAGTCAGATATACAGAGAGGAGGACAGACAGAAAGATCTTCCATCCATTGATTCACTCCAAGTGGCCACAATGGCCAGAGCTGAGCCATTCCAAAGCCAGGAGCCAGGAGCCTCTTCTGCCAGGTCTCCCACGTGGGTGCAGGGTCCCAAGGCTTTGGGCCATCCTTGACTGCTTTCCAGGCCACAAGCAGGGAGCTGGATGGGAAGTGAAGCAGCTGGGATTAGAACTGGCACCCATATGGGATCCCAGCATGTGCAAAGTGAGGACTAGAGCTGCTAGGATACCATGCCGGGCCCAGGAAGACTGTTTCAGTAATGAATTATTTTAAACATATGTGTGCTATATATTTTCTTTTTTTTTTTTTTTTTAAGATTTATTTATTTTAGTGGAATGTCAAGTTTACAGAGAAAAGGATCTTCCATCCACTAGTTCTAATAGTTAGCAATGGCTGGACCTAAGCCAGTCTGAAACCAGAAGCCAGGAGCTTTCTCCAGGTCTCCCGCACAGGTGCAGGGTTCCAAGGTTTTGAGCCATCCTCGACTGCTTTCCTAGGCTGCAAGCCGGGAGCTGGAAGGGAAGCAGGGCCACCATAGCATGAACAGTGCCCTTATGGGATGCTGGCACATGCAAGGCGAGGACTTGAGCCATTAGACTTTTGTGCCGGGTCTGTTTACTTGTTTTTGATTTCTCAGTGGTTTGTCTGCAAATTCAGGAGAAGATTATTTAACGAAACAAAACTTGAATAGCAATTTCACCATTTAATTGGGACCTTTGCATGTCACTTCCCCTATCTTTTGGTTTTTTTTAGCCCTTGGCATCTTTAAGATTTTTACTTTACTTATTTGAAAGGGAGAGTGATAGGATGGGGCAGAGAGCTGCCATCTGATGGTTCATTCCCCAACAGGCTGTAATAGCCGGGGTTGGTTCAGGCCAACCCTAGGAGCCTGACATTCCATCTGGGTCTCCTATGTGGGTCCAAGTATTTGGGTCATTTTCCACTTGCTTCCTGGGACATTAACAGGAGCTGGATTGGAAATGGAGCAGCTGGGGCTCAAATGGCACTCTGATATGAGATGTACCATCACCGGTGTTAGCATAACTTGTACTACGACACCAGACCCCGCCATTAGAATCTTTCTGGTTATCCTTTTGTTGTGCTTATTAGCTTGGGCCAAAGTGGTTAACTGGAGGTTAAGAACCTATATAAAATTATTTATGTGAATTTCTTGGTATGTTTGTATCTTCTTTTACCATGAACAAGTGAAAACTTAGTGATTTTCTCATGGTTTGACTTAAAAGTATAATCAAAATTTAAGTTATGATTTTATGTTGCACCCTAATTTTGTTTTAGTCATGACTTTAAATTTTCTTGAAGCAAGTGTATGTCTAATGCATATTAAACTAAAAAATTGGGGTGAGTTTGCTGTTGCTACAGGTTAAGTAACACCTGCATTTCATATCAGAGTGTCTGTTGAAGTTTTGGCTGCTGCACTTCCATCCAGCTTCCTGCTAATGTGCCTGGTTGGCAGCTCTGATAATGACTCAAGTGCTTGGGTCCCTTCTACCCATGTGGAGGAGCCAGGCAGGAATTTGAGGAGGGGGGACGTGAAATAAGCTTTCACTGTGCCTTTCAAATAGATGAAAATAAATAGGATCTTGCATTGAGGTGCAGTGGTTAGAGCTATCACTTGGCAATGTTGGCAGCATACTTCCAGTTCAACTGCCTGCTAGTATGCCTGGGAGACCAGTGAAATATGACCCAAGTACTTGGACCCCTGCCACCCACTTGGGAAACCCACGTGTAGTTGTAGTTGTAGTTGTCAGCTGGCTTCCACCTTGCTGATAGTCATTTGGGGAGAGAAATCCTGGTTGTTCCTCCCCCCTCCTTCTCTCTAACTCTGCCTTTCAAATAAATAATAAAAAAAAATTTCTTTGAAAGAGAGAGAAAAGATAGGGATGAATATTGTGGCAGAGCCAGCTAAGCTTCACCTGCAAAGATGTCCCATGTGGGTGCTGGTTTGAGTCCCTCTGCCAATCCAGCTTCCTGCTAATGTGCAGGGGACTGGAGTGAAAATAGCCCAAGAATGTGGGCCCCGGCACCCACATTAGACTCCAAGAAGGAGTTCCAGGTTTCTGATTTCAGCCTGGCTTGGCTCTGTTCATTGGGTCAATTTGGGAGGGTGAATCTAGTAGCTGGAAGGTCTTTCTGACTCTCCCTTCCCTCTCTGAAACTCTGCCTTTCAAATAAATATATTTTTTCAAGAAGGGGTAGTGATTTCAAAATTCATTTGATGTTAAAATGCATAACTGATTTTCAAATTTTTATTTTTGTTTAAAATAGGAACTATTGTGAGCATAGGTGACCCTAAGAAAAAATACACAAGATATGAAAAAATTGGACAAGGGTAAGTGTTTATAAATATATTACCGTGATATTCACTATTTTCTAGGTATACAACATTTAGCTTTGGTTCTTTGACAGTGAGCACTCAATGTAGATTTGTGTCTATTAATAAAGTTACTTACTTTTTTTTAATTCTTAAGTTTCCATCTATTCCTATAATGTTGTGCATTTTTCTTTTTAAGATTTATTTTTTATTTTTATTGGGAAGGCAGTTTTTTTTTTGTTTGTTTTGTTTTGAAAGTCAGATTTGCAGAGAGAAGGAAAGACAGACAGATCTTCCTTCCACTCTCCAAGTGGCTGCAATAGCTGGAGCTGAGCCAATGCAGAGCCAGGAGCCTGGAGCCTCTTCCAGGTGTTCCACTTGAGAACATGGCCCCACGGCTTTGGGCTGTTCTTCACTGCTTTCTCAGGCCAAAAGCAGGGAGCTAGAAGGAAGTGTATTAATGTGGACATGAACTGGTATCCATATGGGATCCTGGAGTTTGTGATGGGAAGATTTTGCCAGTATGCTATCACACTGGACCCTACAGTTACTTCTTGATACAGGTTTTTAACATCATTTAGCAATGATTTTACATCACCTTTTTTTTTTCTCTGAAAGGTTAAATCATATTAGAGGTGAAAGCAACAGAGAAATAAAAACTTTGCCCAAAGAGTATATTTAATACATAAGAACAGTACTTATTGAAGGACATAGGCAATAAAAACTTGTATTTAAATTACATTGTTGGGACTGGCATTGTGGCAGAAGGAGTAAACTGTTATGCCAGCCTCCCATGTGGGCTGTGGTTCAGTTGTACTTCCTGTATGGCTCCCTGCTGATTGCCTGGGGAAAGTGGCAGAAAAGACCCAAGGGCTTGGGCCCTCCCACCTATGCTGTGTACTGGGATGGGGCTCTTGGGTCCTGGCTTCAGACTGGCTTTATCTTGGTCATTGATGCCATCTGGGGAGTGAATCAACAGATGAAAATTGGAAATCTCTGCCTTCTTCTTTATATTTCTTTAAAGTGCATAGGGCTCGGCTCAGTAACCTTGTGGCTGAAGTCCTTGCACGCCCCAGGATCCCAGCGGCCCCACTTCCCATACAGCTCTGCTTGTGGCCTGGGAAAGCAGTCAAGGATGGCCCAAAGCCTTGGGATCCTGTACCCTTGTGGAAGACCCAGAGGAAGTTCCTTTAAAAAAAATTAAAAAAATAAAATGAATCTTTATTTTAAAGATTTATTTTTTTTTTAAAGATTTATTTTTATTATTTTTTCATTGGAAAGGCGGATATACAAAGAGGAGAGACAGAGAGGAAGATCTTCCGTCCAATGAGTCACTCCCCAAGTGAGCGCAACGGGCCGGTACTATGCCGATCCAAAGCCAGGAGCCTCTTCCGGGTCTCCCACGCGGGTGCAGGGTCCCAAAGCTTTGGGCCGTCCTCCACTGCTTTCCCAGGCCACAGGCAGGGAGCTGGAAGGGAAGGGGGGCTGCCAGGATTAGAACCAGCGCCCATATGGGATCCTGGCACGTTCAAGGCGAGGACCTTTAACCACTTGCACCACCACGCCGGGCCCTAAAGATTTATTTTTTATTGGAAAGGCAGATATACAGAGAAGAGAGAGAGAGAGGAAGATCTTCTGTCCAATGATTCACTCCACAAGTGAGCGCAAAGGCCGGTGCTGCGCTGATCTGAAGCCAGGAACCAGGAACCTCTTCCGGGTCTCCCACATGGGTGCAGGGCCCAAAAGCATTGGGTCGTCCTTGACTGCTTTCCCAGGCCACAAGCAGGGAGCTGGATGGGAAGTGGAGCTGCTGGGATTAGAACTGGGGCCCATATGGGATCCCGGCACATTCAAGGCGAGGAGTTTAGCTGCTAGGCCATGTCGCCAGGCCCAGATGAATCTTTTTTAAAAATGTGAATAAGTAATCAATATAAAAATTATGTTGTTGGGCCCGGCGCGGTGGCGCAAGTGGTTAAAGGTCCTCGCCTTGCACGCCCGGGATCCCATATGGGCGCCGGTTCTAATCCCGGCAGCCCCGCTTCCCTTCCAGCTCCCTGCCTGTGGCCTGGGAAAGCAGTCGAGGACGGCCCAAAGCTTTGGGACCCTGCACCCGCGTGGGAGACCCGGAAGAGGCTCCTGGCTTCAGATCAGCATAGTATCGGCCCGTTGTGCTCACTTGGGGAGTGACTCATTGGACGGAAGATCTTCCTCTCTGTCTCTCCTCTGTATATCCACCTTTCCAATAAAAAAAAATAATAATAATAAAAAAAAATTATGTTGTTGACAGAGATCTTGGCATCTACTGTTTTGATTTTGTCTAATTGTATTTTTAAATGATACTAATTTAATTTTTTTCCCATTGCTTAAAGACACCTGCACATCTCAATTTTGTAAATGCAGTTAATCTGTGGGTAGCATTTTGGATTTAGAAAAAACAAGCCTGAGTTGCAAAATTTTTGAATTTTTAAAAAATAAGCTCAATGGACATTTTTAATAAAAATGAAATAGCTATTTTTGACATAGTAGTGGGTGAATTATATATTAAATAATACATTATTAATAATAATAATGAATAAGAATAATACCTATTTCTGTGGGTGACCATCACAAATCCAGTGTTGACTAAGAAAAGCCAGTTGCTTGGAGCAGTATTTGGCCTCTATTTAAAATGCCTGTGTCCCGTGTGGAACTCCTGGGTTCAAGTCCCAGCTTCCAGTTTCAGTGGAGAGCTACCAAATATGGGTCAAGTCATGTTGAATGCCTTTTATCCATGTAAGAGACCTGAGTTCTGTGCTCTGTTTAGACTTGGTTGGCCCATTTCCATCCTTTGGGTGTTCGGGAGTTAGCCAGAAAATGGGAAAGTGTTCCCTCTGTCTTTGAAGTAACTTTAAACTTTTTAAGTTAAAAAAAAAATAAAGCAAGTTGCAGAAAAATGTGTAAAACGAAACTAGATGCTGTTTAAAAATTAGGCTGGGTAGTAGTATATTCTGTAAAGCTACCTCCTGTGTCCTTTGTAGCTAAATCTACAGAGAAATGCATGGAAATGATGTCTGACAAATACAGGTGACCCTTGAGACCTGGGAGGATGCCGATCAGGAAGGATACACAGGACCCTCCATGTTATTTGTCGTGGTTTCTGACACAGGGACTTGTATTCTCAAGTTGCATTACATTTTTCCTTTTTCCCCAATGTCTTAGTTTTTTTTTTTTCATCTTTTCCCTTTATTTTACTCCTTATTACTTTTAAAGATGGTAAGTCTTAAATGGTTTTTTAATCTTTTTCAACTGTTTGAAGTCTGTAGATATTGTAAATTATAGTGAATTAAAAACCTTAAATCTGGTTGTATCTTTTCTCCCTCTAGGGCTTCGGGTACAGTTTTTACTGCTACTGATGTGGCATTGGGACAGGAGGTAGCTACTTTTTCATACTTCCGAATATTATAATTAATGTTTCGTGTAGGAGGAAACTAGATAAAAGCTGAAAATAATCAGAATTCTTGTAAGTTTGGTATGGTATATGAGAATTGCTGTATGCGTTTTTGTTAGATTTATCTAGATTGGGAAAAAAGAATTATAACTTTAGCGTCATCAATGAGCAAATATTAAAACATTTTCCTAGCTTGGACTAAAAAAATGAATTGCTGGTGCTATACAGTCTTTGGATTTGATAAATTGAAAATATCTAGCCTCTGTGTATTACAAAGAATTCTGCATAAGCAGTGTGGATATATTGCTTTGAATGAATTTTTAAGCTTGTGTAATACAGAATATAGTCTGTTAACTGATAGATGTTTAATTATAAATTCATTGTTATTTCTAATTTTCTGTGAGAATTAGGAGACCTGTTCAATTCTGCTTCTGTTACAGGTTGCTATCAAACAAATTAATTTACAGAAACAGCCAAAGAAGGAATTGATTATTAATGAAATTCTGGTGATGAAGGAATTAAAAAATCCCAACATAGTTAACTTCTTGGACAGGTAATTAAATGGACTAAAAATGTGGAAATCTTAATTCTCATGGTTCGAAGGGCAAACTGCTTTGGCTAAAATGAAATGTTAGCACTGGGGTCAACATTGTGAGGCACCAGCATCCAGTTTGATTGATGGTTTGAGCCCCCACGGTTCTGCTTTCTATCTAGTTCTCTGCCGATGCTCCTGGGGAAGCAGTGGAGGTTGGCTCAGGTAGTTGGGCCCCTGGTTTCTACTTGGCCAGGCCCTTGTTGCACCTCTTTCGAGAGTGAACCGGTGGACAAATGTACCTATGTATGTGAGTGTGTCTCTTCTCTATAACTCTGCCTTTAATTTTCTAAAATGTCACTGCTAAGGAGAAGGATTAAAGATGGAGAGATATAAGTAGCACTTCTGATTTAGAAATTTCGTTTTCTAGAGGGATATTACTTGGCACACGAGAGAAAATATTTAAATGGAGAAATCATATGTCTTAACAGTTTTTCCCTCATAAGCTAGGCTCCATGGAAAAATTGTTTATTACCTATCAAAACCTCACTTAGGTGTGGGTGGTTGGCACAGCCACTAAGTTGGTGCTTGAGATGCTTTCATCCCATCTCACAGTGTTGGCTTATTGTCTTGCTTGCCCTGCTTCTGATCCATATTCTTGGTGATATACCCCTGGGAAGCAGAGGTAATGGCTCGAGTACTCAGGTTTTTGCCATTCAAGTGACAGACTTTTGAGTTCCAAGATTCTAGCTTCAGCCTAGTTCACCCTGACTGTTGCATGCGTTTAAGAATGAAGTGGTATATGGAAAAATCTCCCTGACTAATTGCTATCTGTCTTTGAAATAATGAAACATTTTTATAAACCTCTCATTTAGTGTAGGAATTAATGTTAAATAATAACAAAAAGCAGAATAGAAAATGATGTATATGCTACAATCGTGTTTTTAAAATATCCACAGTATATATGAATGAAAGACTTAAATGAAAATGTGTTGGGCCCAGCATAATAGTTCAGCAAGTAGTCCTTGCCTTGCACATGCCACGATCCCATATGGGTGCCAGTTCTAATCCTCCTGGTCCTGCTTCCCATCCAGCTCCCTGCCTGTGGACTGGGAGGGCAGTCGAGGACGGCCCAAAGCCTTGGGACCTTGCACCCGCATGGGAAACCCGAAGGAGACTCATGACTCCTGGGTTTGGATTGGCACAGCTCTGGCGTGAACCATTGGGCGGAGTATTTTCCTCTCTGTCTGTCCTCTCTGTATATCTGCCTTTCCAATAAACATAAATAAACCTTAAAAAAAAAAAAAGAAAATGTTTTAATGCTTTTGTTGGAGAATAAGATTATAAGTAATTTTATTCCATATTTGAATTTATTCAAAATGAAGAAACCAATTTTTCGGTACCTTTTTTTAAAAGTAATAATTCAAATCAGCATGGCATGGTGGTCAAAATTAAACTACAGGCTAGGGGGTCATTTGGCTTCAGATCCTGGTTCTGTCAGTTACCATCTGTGTGACCTTGGATGAGTCATTTACCCTCTTCATCTGTAAAGCAGGACTCATAATGCCCACCTCATGGGATTATTCCCATTGGAATAATCCATTTCCACACTCAGAATTGTTCAGGAATATCACAATGACCTTTCATTATTGTTTTGTGCTGTACATAGCAATTTTTCAGTTTTTCATCTAGTTTTCAAGGTTTTATATTTGAAAATTTTGCAGCAGAGAGAACCCTGTGTGTAGACAATGTAAAAATGTGAGTATATTTGTGTGTTCTATTATTAGTTACCTAGTGGGAGATGAATTATTCGTGGTAATGGAGTACCTTGCTGGCGGCTCACTCACTGATGTTGTAACAGAAACCTGCATGGATGAGGCACAGATCGCCGCCGTGTGCAGAGAGGTTTGTTCACTTGGTGATACATTACCATGATCTATAGTCAGCCAGAGGTTTGAAAAAAAAATAAAAGTAATGTGTGTTCTGCAAAGTTTTATTGTGTGTAATAATTTCCAATCACGGGTTCTCTGCAAGGCTGTCCATAATTGTCCACCACTTCCTATCTCCTGAAGGATAACCAGGGACCAAAACCTTTAATGAGAATAAACAGACAGCTTGTTTCCTTGTGTTCATTAGTGACTTTCTAAACAAACATCAAAAGCACTTCATTGAGTTTGCGGAAAGTGCATTTTTCACTGTAATTTTGTTTTTTAAGTGTCCTTGTGAAGTCCATAGAATTCTGTGAAGTTGCCTAAGTCAGAGCCAGAAAAATTTATTTGCATTTAATGCTTTTCTACAGAAAAGACCAAGGTCAAGGACTGATTTATTGCCTCTGAAGCTGCAATGCTGCTTTCTTCTAATATCATAGGAATTATTGTCACAAAGGGAAAACTTAGTAAGAGTTGATAAAACTGTTGTATTGTGTTTTTGAAGATTTGGCTTTCAGCCATTCTACAGTGATACATAAAATGAGTTATAAACTTTGTTCATATGAGAATATGTATGATGTTTTACTTTTTTCAGTTTTTATTAGGATGTTAAAAATATTCTTCGATGGGCATTGGCATAATGGTCATGATAGGTCTTCAGATGCCTGCATCCCATATCAGTACCTGGGTTTGAGTCCAGCTCTGTTCTGTACTGGTTCTTGCTGATGAGCATCTTGGGAGCAGCAGATGACAGCTCAAGTGTTTGGGTTCCTGACACCAACAAAGGAGATCCAAATTCAGTTCCAGGTTCCTGGCTTGCACCTGTCCCAGCCTTAGCTGTTGGGTACATTTGAGGAGTAAATCCATGGACGGGAGATCTGGTTTTTTTGTCTCTCTTTCCTTGCTGCCCTCCCTCCCTCCTGCTCTCTCACTTTTTCAAATAAAGTGAGAATAAATTTTGATATGTTTTAAAATTTTAATCTAACTTTTCTCCCTGTAAGATGAAGCTTCTGGTTCTATCTTCACATAGGGTTAATCTGTGGCCTGCTGCTCCATTTCTGGTTCATCTCCCTGCTCATGGTCTGGGAAAAAGTACAGAAGATGGCCCAAGCATTTAGGCTCCTGCTACTCACATAGGAGATTTGCTTGAAGCCCCTGGTTTTGTCCCAGCCATGCCCTAGCTGTTGCTGCCATCTGGGAATGAACTAGAAATGAAAGATCCCATCTCCCTACCCATCGCTCTCTGTAATTCTTTATATTAAAAATAAAGAAGAAAAGTCTAGGGGCCCAGCATGGTAGCCTAATGGCTAAATCCTCGCCTTGTATGCGCCAGGATCCCATATGGATGCCAGTTCGTGTCCTGCTGCTCCACGTCCCATCCAGCTCCCTGCTTGTGGCCTGGGAAGGCAGCAGAGGATGGCCAGAAGCCAGGAGCTTCTTCCGGGTCTCTTTCATGGGTGCAGGATCCCAAGACTTTGGGCCGTCCACGACTGCCTTCCCAGGACACAAGCGGAGAGCTGTATGGGAAACAGGGGCAATGGATGTCAGGGACACAGTAACTTGATTTTACCTGCTGCCTTCCAGGATCTGCACTGACGGAAGCCAGGGCTGTGAGTTGAACTGTAACTCCAGTGCAGGATATGTGCATCTAAACTGCTAGGACAGGTGCAAACCCCATACCCCTTGTGGCCCCACAAGGGTTACTCTACATTGTTGACATTGTTTTTTAAGTGTTTATTTTTTTAAAATTTATTTTCATCTATTTGAAAAGCAGGATGATAGGAAGATCTTCCATCCACTGGTTCAATTCCCCAAAATAACATGCAGTAGCCAGAACTGGGCCAGGCCAAAATCAGGAGTCTAGAAGTCCATGTACTTCCATGTAGGTGACTAGAGTCCAAGCATTTGAGCCATTGTCAGCTGCTTCCCCAGCTGCCTTAGCAAGACACTGAATGGGAAGCAGAGTAGCTGGGACTTGAACTAGTGCTTTAAGATGGGATTATGTGCATTACAAGGGGCTGCGTAACTCCCTGTGCCACAACACCTTACCCTGGTGACACGATTTCTGAAGAGCTTCTGGATGCTTAGAAGGTGTAGTATACCATTAGGCATTTAGAACTGAAACAGCCGGGCCTGGCATGGTAGCCTAGCGGCTGAATCCTCACTTTGCATGTGGCAGGATCCCATGTGGATGTGGCCTCTGATCCTAGCAGTCCCACTTCTCATCTAGCCCCCTGCTTGTGCCCTGGGAGGGCAGTTGAGGATGGCTCAGGGCCTTGGACCCTGTACCTGGGTGGGAGATCCCAAGGGGGCACCAGGCTCCTGGCTCAGATTGGCACACCTCCAGCCATTGTGGCTGCTTGGAGTGTGAATCAGCAGATGAAAGATCTTTCTGTCTCTCCTCCTATCTGTAAATCTGACTTTACAATAAAAATAGATCTTTTTAAAAAAGTATCATTGTAAAGAAAAAATAGTAAAACTGAAACAGCCTAGAAGTTATGTGTACCCAGCTGCCCTTTGTTTTGTATTTAGATGGTTGAAGACCGAGCAATGATTAATGGTAGACAATGGACTAATACTCCTGGATGAAATTAGCGTGAGAGAAGATCCACTTATTTAATTAAGGCATAGGTTCATAAATTTGCATATGAGAGAATGTTCTTTTTTGAGAATGTTCTTTGATAATTATTTCTCTTCTGTTCAGTGTTTACAGGCTTTAGAGTTTTTACATGCTAATCAAGTGATCCACAGAGACATCAAAAGTGACAACGTGCTTTTGGGGATGGAAGGATCAGTTAAACTTAGTGAGTAATAAGTGAAAAAACAAAATTTGTTTTTATTTATGATAGCCACCTTTTGTTTAATTACAGATTTATTGTATTAATATTTTCATGATTTAATAAATATATGGAAAGAGTAAGAAATGGATTTTTGATAGCTTGGGACTACTTGGTGAATAATTTGGGGTCGGTTGCTTCATCTGTGTCTGTTTTGTCATTAAGGGAACTAATACTTCCTGTCTCAGAATTTTATGAAGCATTAAAAATTAAGCAGTTGCCTAGGACTGGTAATGTTACTGTCTTAAAAAGACAAAGTTTAAATCTGTTTCTGCCTCTATGATTCTCATGTGCTTCAGACTTTTCTGAATTCTGTAGAGCTTGGTCTAATAAGGACAGGCTGGGCTGTAAGATCTTGCCCTCGGGCATGACATGTTGGGTAAAACAGTCTTCCCTTCTCTAATTGCCCTCTCTATCAGACATAGTAGAACCATGGGAAAAAAAGAAATTCCTGAGCTGCTTTCTCGTCTACCGCCTGTGATCTCTCAGTTCTGATCATGCCCTCTGGAGGATTTCAGAAGAACCTCCTGCTGAGATTTTTCCAGCCCTGCAAAATTTAAGATATTTTCTGGGTTAAGAAACCAAAAATTTTTCTTCTCTCCTATGAGTGATTGATTTACCTTACAGATTGAGTATTCATTATCCAAAATATTTAGGACCAGAATTGTTTCACATTGCAGAATCTTTCAGATTTTGGAATTTTTATGTTCTTTACTGGTTGAATACCTTAATCTGAAAACCCTGAATATGAAATGCTTCACAGTCAAAATTTGTGACTATCATATTGATGCACAGTTCTAGATGTGGAGTTTTTGTGTAGGAATGTTCAGTCTGTGTTAGTAGTACCGTAGAAAATAAGAGATTAGTCAGAATGTTATTGATTATGTCATCTGAAACGAACATACTCTGTTTTGTTTTATAGCCGACTTTGGTTTCTGTGCCCAGATCACTCCTGAACAGAGCAAACGTAGTACCATGGTTGGAACGCCTTACTGGATGGCCCCCGAGGTGGTTACAAGGAAAGCGTATGGCCCTAAAGTTGATATATGGTCTCTCGGCATCATGGCTATTGAGATGGTGGAAGGAGAACCTCCATACCTCAATGAAAATCCCTTAAGGGTAAGGCCACTTAAATACAAGCTGTGTTATATACAAAATACTCTAAATCATTTCATTAGAACCTGTGCCAGCTGCTGGTCAAGAATGTGAGAAAGTTAATAAACCTAGTCAGTGCCATTGGTCTCATCTAAAACTCACTTGCTTCTGAGCTATGGAGTTAAACACACTAGTTCAAGAGTTTGTAAATTTTTCTTATTAAACATATACACTTTAGTAAGTGTGTATGCTTTTTATTTTTTTTAAAGATTTATTTTTATTGGAAAGTCAGATATACAGAGAGGAGGAGAGACAGAGAGCAAGATCTTCCATCTGATGAATCACTCCCCAAGTGAGTACAACGGCCAGTGCTATGCCGATCTGAAGCCGGGAACCAGGAACTTCCTCCAGGTCTCCCATGTGGGTGCAGGATCCCAAGGCTTTGGGCCCTCCTCGACTGCTTTCCCAGGCCACAAGCAGGGAGCTGGATGGGAAGTGGAGCTGCCGGGATTAGAACTGGCGCCCATATGGGATCCTGGCACGTTCAAGGCGAGGAGTTTAGCTGCTAGGCCACGCCGCCAGGCCCAGTGTGTATGTTTCTTTTGCCACAGAGTTGAGGACCCTGGGTAAATGTCTTTTTGCACAGTGGAATACCCTAGAGATACTCATCATCTTACCCACTTTGATCCTTGGTCCCAAGATACACAGAAAGGAAAGGCAGAGTTTGTCTGATAGTTTTATAAATGGTAATGTGACAGCTCACATTCACATGAGAGTAGAGATCCTGAGATCCCTAGACTTTAAAAAAGAACTGAAAAGTTCCAGCAAGTGAGTGGCAGAGAGTTTGAAAATCTGTTTCTGCTTCCTCCTCCCTGATTTAAAACTTGTTTTCCTTTCCTTTACTGCTTTTTTAAAAAAACATTTATTTATTTTTATTGGAAAGGCAGATATACAGAGAGGAGGAGAGACAGAGAGGAAGATCTTGCATCTGATGGATCACTCCCCAAGCAGGTGCAATGACTGGTGCTGAGCCAATTCAAAGCCAGGAGCCCGGAGCTTCTTCCAGGTCTCCATGTGGTTGCAGGATCCCAAGGCTTTGGGCCCTCCTCAATTGCTTTCCCAGGCCACAGGCAGGGAGCTGGATGGAAAGCAGGATGGCCGGGATTAGAATTGGCACCCATATGGGATCCTGGCATGTTCAAGACAAGGACGTTAGCTGCTATGCTATTGCGCCGGGCCCCCTTTACCACTTTTAAATGGCCAAGTATGCAGTTAGACTTATAGCACACCACTTAAGCCTCCATGGGATCCCTAAATCCCATATCATGGTGCCTGAATTCAAGTTCCAGGTCTACTGTGGATTCCAGTTTCCTGCTAATACAGATGTTTGGGGGCTACATGCGATAATTCCAGTGGGTGGATCCTTGTGACCCGCATGGAGTACCAGACCAAGTTTGTGGCTTTGGCTTCTTTGTGGTCCAGGCATAACTGGGCCCTGAAGAGTAAAACTGCAGATAGGAGATCTCTCTTTCTTTCTTTGAGTAAATAAAAGTGAATAAATGTTTTAAAGGAGGTATTTACTTATTTGCAAGGCACTGTTAGAGAAAGAAATCTTCCATGAACCGATTTAGTGCTCAGGTAGCTGCAGCTGGGGCTGGGCCAGGCCAGCTCCCCTAGGTCTCCCACCTAGGTGGCAGCGATCCGAGTACCTGGGCCAAGAACTTCTGCCTTCCCAAGCCGGAATAGTCGGGAATCAAGTCTGTGTCCATATGGGACGCCAGCATAGTAGTTGATAGCTTTACTCCCTGTGCTTTAGTGTTGACCCCCATACTTTTTTTTTTTTTTTAAGATTTGCTTATTTTAATCCAAAGGCAGATTTTCAAAGAGAAGGAGAGAGAGAAACATTTTTCATCCACTGGTTCACTCCCCAAGTAGGTACACCAGCTGGAGAAGAGGTGATTAGAAGGCAGGAGCTTCTTCTGGGCCTCCCATGCAGGTGTAGAGACCCACAACATCGAGCCATCCTCCCCTGCCTTTTCCGGGGCCATAACCAGGGAACTGGATGGGAAGTGAAGCAGCAAACATGAACCAGCATCCATGTGGAATGTGTTGCTTAGTTAGATGTGGAGGGCTAACCATGTGCCGGCCCAGGTTTTTTCAAAATTGAAGATAACCATTTCACATTTGTTACAAAGTTCATTAAAAAAAGGTATGAAGTGCGGATGTCTGTAGAGAAACTTGGACCCTTGCATTGCTAGTAGAAATGTAAAACAGTAGTTTTAGTTCAGACAAATTTGACAGTTCCTCAAAAAAGTAATGTTGAGTTACCATATGATTTTGCAATAGTACTGATAGAGGCATATTTGAGAGAATTAAAAATGTGCACCCCCAAGCCTGGCGTGGTAGCCTAGTGACTAAAGTCCTCATCTTGCACACACCGGAATCCCTTATGAGCGCCAGATCTAATCCTGGCAGCCCAGCTTCCCATCCAGCTCCCTGCTTGTGGCCTGGAAAGCAGTCGAGGAGGGCCCAAAGCCTTGGGACCCTGCACCCACATGGCAGACACAGAAGAGGGACTCCTGGGTTCGGATCAGTTCAGCTGTGGCCATTGTGGCCACTTGGGAAATGTTTCATTGGATGGAAGATCTTCCTGTCTTTCCTCCTCTTTGTATATCTGACTTTCCAATAAAAATAATAACCATAATAAAATTAAAAATAAATATTTTTTTAAATTTTATTTATTTATTTATTTTTAGATTTATTTATTTTTATTGGAAAGGAAGGTATACAGGGAGGAGGAGAGACAGAGAGGACTTCCATCCAATGGTTACAATTCCTCAAGTGGCAAGAGCAGATGGAGCTGAGCCAGTCTGAAGCCAAGAGCTCTTCTGGGTCTCCCATGCGGGAGAGTCCCAAGGACCAGGCTGTGCCCGACTGCCTACCCAGGCCACAACTGGGGAGCTGGATGGGAAGCGGGACCTCCAGGTTTAGAACCAGTGCCCGTATGGGATCCCCGTGTGCTCAAAGTGAGGACTTTAACCACTACGCCATTGCACCGGGCCCTTAAAAAAATAGTTTTTTAAAAAAGGGATTATTCATTATTGTTTTTTTTTTAAAAAAAAAAGGAATTTGGAGATCCACAAATTTTATAAAGTTGTCTGTCAGTTTGTTGAGTTACCATAATATGCCAAAATGTTCTCATTTTTAGGCTTTGTACCTGATAGCAACTAATGGAACCCCAGAACTTCAGAATCCAGAAAAACTTTCCCCTATATTTAGGGATTTTTTGAATCGGTGTTTGGAAATGGATGTGGAAAAAAGGGGTTCAGCCAAAGAATTATTACAGGTAAATTTGAAAATGCCAGTTTGGGGAAATTCAGTTGAGTTTGTCTTCCATGTAACCTATAGATGGTTTTCATAAAATGGCAACTCATTGCATTTCACATTCTGTTAATTACTTTAGTGTGGTAACTTAATTTTTAAGACTTTATCTGGTAATAGAAAAACTTAAATCGTAATGACTTTTTGCATATTGTCAATTCTCAGACCTATTCATTGTTGACATAAATGTTATCTGTGGCTTTAATTAGTATATTTTTTATTAGTCTGTAAATAACATTTGGGGGTTAGTGAAAGAAACATTTTGTGTCTAAACTGATGATGTGTATACCTTTGTTTCTCCCCATTTTCTGTCAGCATCCCTTCCTGAAACTGGCCAAGCCATTATCAAGTTTGACACCACTCATCTTGGCAGCTAAAGAAGCAATGAAGAGTAACCGTTAACATCATTGCCGTGGCCTCATATTCTTTTATCCATTTTCTAAAAAGAAGTCTTTTAATATATGAAAGTTAACTGCTCTTTGTGGGCTTTAAAAAATATTCTGCGTGACAGAGGAAACAGCTCTTTCTTGAAGACAACCAAGACAAAATTGCAAAAAGAAAATCATGACTTTGAGATGAACCCCTTGTTTAGGGTCCAAAGGAATTGTGGCCTGAGTAGCCTTACATCTTTCAGCAGACAGCCACCATGGCCATTTTTCGTGCTTGAGATTTCATTGTATTTGGCTAACTTTGTTATTATAGATCCCGTTTGTTGTCCCCTTCAGGGTGTTTTCAATACTTGAAGAGCGGATTTGAGTTCTTGGGAGTTTTTCATCTGCTGGTCTTTTCTTCTTCAGAGCTTTCCTTTCCTTGACTTGCTCCTTTTGAGTTGCTTTGAGAAATTTTTCTCATGCCTAGATTCAAGGCAAGTATGATAGAAATTATGCAGTTCCTCGTATTGGCAGAGGAGCTCAGTATAATTTAACTTTGTATAGAAGTTAGGACCAGCAATTGTTTAATGTAATATTTCAGTTCAAAACTTGAACTGAAAGAAGGGAAGAAAAGTATGTGATTTTTACCTTTTTTAACAAATGTGAAAGAGTCACTTTTAGGAATCTCATGGTAGTGAGTTTGGCATTTTTACATGTATAGAAAAAAGACTAATCTATATTTATAACTAAATCATTGCAACAGAAAAAGAATCCCAGCCTATGCATCTGTTCAATTTTGTCTCCCTCTCTGCCTGTCTCCTCTTCAGATTTGGCTTTATGAACCAAAGTAATTTGTTCTTGTTCCACCTTGAGTAGTACGACTTTGGTTAGTGCTGTTACCTTCTCCTTCCTTCTCTTTCTTTTCATTTGGAAATAAGTTTCTGTATATGTTGCAATTTTAGCTTTAGCGGGGTTTTTTTGGTTCTTATAATTTTGCTTATAATTCTCTCACCTCACACATTCTCTTCCCTACCACATCTCACCCTGTGGCAAATAACATAATAACCATTGAATTTTCAGAATTTAAAAGTTATTTTTTATTTTTCACTTAAAAGGACAAATACTTGGGGTTGGCAGAGACAGTATGGGAGATTGAACTCTAGTGAGTTCTAAAATAATTAGTCAAGGCTGTATTCATGACAGAGTTTTATAGAGTTAGAACCACAGGACCGGTAAACTGTAAAGATTTATTGTAAGTTGCATTGATCCAACACATTAACAGTATTTTTCTGTCAAAGAAAACTTAGATGAGAAATTTGGATCATTGGAGATGTTAAAGTACTTTTTAAAAATTTTTTTTCAGGTAAGTAGGGAATATTCAAGTAAAATGAAGAAAGGAAAATGAAATGTACTTACTGATAACAATCCTTTTTGATCTTAAAGATTAAGAAAGGTCTGTGACCTGTTAATTAAGAGTCCTTGCCTGTTCTCCCTTCCCTTTTCCTTCCTCCCCTCTACTTCTCTACTTATTTCTTTGTTGTTTTGCTTTTGGAGGAGGTATTGTCCATTCTGACATATCTGAACCATATACAGGAGAAAAATCTTGCTGAGTTCTAACATTCTGTTCTAGACATGCCTTCCCAATGAACTTCACATCTGATTGCCATCTTGCATTAGTACAAATCATTAATGGAAATAAATGTTCTGTTAGGTAGTATGTTGAAGAAACCAGCAGGATTTTATTTCCTGTTATTCCCATTGTATCTGTGTTAGGAGGCAGAAGTTTTCAGAAAATGAGTGAAATTTACATAAAGCACTTAGTGGTCTCTCTTTCCTGTATGGTTCTTGATTTCATTTTTCTCTGGACTGTATCGGCCTTCTAAAGCTCTTACTAAAATTACAAATATGAGTGGTTTATTTCTAGTGGAAAGCTTGGAGTGCCCCTTAAGGTCCAGTATGAACGTTTTTTGTAAACAGTTGTCTGGATGGATTTTGATGAAGATGCTGCCAATAAAATAAACTGTGATCATGACCACTCAAGAAGGCACTGCCCATCCCAAGTCATGAACACCGTATCCATGGGATATGTGCCAAGGCCCCAGTTTATGCTTGTGATTCCTCGGGGGCTTTCCAGATGGTGGAAGCTTCACAGCTTCTTTGATGGTGACTTGCATGTCCATTGCTGGCAACGGACTTGGAAATCTGACTCCTGGGTTACGGGAGCTACACTGTGGTTTATTCTTTACTTACCTGGATAAACTAACCTGTAATAGAATTATACTTTGGTAAATTCTGAAATGTGTCATTTTTAAACAGAATAATCTTAAAAGCAATATGAGTTGTGATTTATTAGTTATTTTAAATTAAAATGTTCAGATCTTCTTTGAAAAAAACTACTGTATCTAAATCAAGATTTTTGTATTTTTTATTAATTGCCTTATGTATTCTTCTTGTCACCACTTCAGTATGAAAATTCCGCATTTAAATCTAAAACTTAAACATTAGCAGTCATGTATTGCTAGGGCAGTATTACTGTGCTCCTTATTTATTATATTTTAGACTTAGATGGTGTTAAAGTTATCTTTTCTTCTTATTCCTTTTGCTGCTTTAAGGGATAGTTAAAAACTTGGAAACCATGAAAATATTGAACATGTTATCCTACCTTCAGTAGTAAACACATGGAGTGATGGTATAACATGTGACCTCAAGGCTGGCATAACTCTGCCTTCATGTATTGAGCCCCCTGAGTAACATTACGCTGCTAAACATTTACCCAGTAACTCCCAGGCTTAAACAAACCTGTGCCTTTAACCAGCCACTTAAACTACCTATGAGTATTTCTTTGTTTGGCTCCCTTAAATACGTGTTTCTTTGTTTATATTATATTCTAACCAGAGCAATTTTAGGCAGTAGCTGTAGTATGAAAAAACAAGTGCTTAAAGAATTTGCATCATTTTCAAATCTAAAATGCTTTTAGTAAACAGATACATATCCAGTAAAATGTCAAATGTAATATTTATATAGGTTAAATCCAAGTTAATACTTGTTTTTTTATTATAATAGAATTTCACAGCAATATAAAAACAAGATGGTCTTCCACTATTTCCACAATAGATATTTGAGCAGTTAATATCAGTTTTTATGCAGTATGTTATATGAATATGTGAATTTTTAAAGCCCCACTTTTTATCAGCACATTTGTTGAATACTCCTACAGAGATGCTAGGGTAGGTATTGGCATTAAAGGATCACAGTGCTCTGGCCTTGAAAGAACTGAAGGAAGTCTTCCTTATTCATCAAATGTAGAATATTGTCAAGAAAAGAGGCTGGAAGGAATGTAAGACAATTCTGTTAAACAAGTGCGCATTCTACATTGAAAAAAATCAGTTCTAGTTTGATTTCAGCATCTTTGGTTGGAATCTGTTGACTTGGTGTTTTGGTAGATAGAAATGAAATTAAAGTATTTTCTGGTTTTTCTTCGAACCTCACATTACTGCTTTATTAATTTAATCAAATTTGGTCGTTTAAAGTTTGCATTGATAGTAACTGCTATGTTAAGAAATTTTGTTGAGGGAGTATGAAAAAATTTTGTTGAAAGGGCTAGAAATAAACTTTTTAAATGTCCATTCCCCCCACCTTTTTTTTTTTTTTTAAAGATTTATTGGAAAGGCAGATATACAGAGAGATGGAGAGGAAGATCTTCCATCTGATGGTTCACTCACCAAGCAGCTGCAAAGGCTAGAGCTGAGCCAATCTAAAGCCCAGGAGTCAGGTGCTTCTTCCAGGTTCCCCACACAGGTGCAGGGTCCCAAGGCTTTGGCCCGTCTTTGACTGCTTTCCCAGGCCACAGACAGGGAGCTGGCCACCGGGACTGTAACCGGTGCACATATGGGATCCCAGCGCATTCAAGGTGAGGACTTTAGCTGCTACGCTATCACGCTGGGCCCCATTTTCCCCTTTCTTAAATTTTCATTCTTTTCAGAAACAGATAAAAGAATAAGTTAGCAGTTTCCAAATGTAAGTATCCTTTTATTTTTCAAGGGTAGACTTTTAAAAAAAATTTATTTTTATTGGAAAAGTGAATATACAGAGAGGAGGAGAGACAGAGAGGAAGATCCTCCGTCTGTCTGATGGTTCACTCCCCAAGTGACCACAACAGCTGGAGCTGAGCCTATCTGAAGCCAGGAGCCAGGAGCTTCTTCCAGGTCTCCCACATGGGTGCAGGGTCCCAAGGCCTTGGGCCGTCCTTGACTGTATTCCCAGGCCACAAGGATGGAGCTGGAGGGAAGCAGGGCAGCAGGGATATGAACTGGCACCCGTATGGGATCTTGGTGTGTTCAAGGTGAGGACTTTAACCACTATGCTATCGCGCTGGGCCCAATGGTGGACATTTTTAATTCCTAAAATATTTTATGGTATTTTAAATCATCTACTGGTGTCATTAGAACCATTTTGAGTATATTTCAAAACCCGAATTTAGGGAGGTTTCTAGAAATATGTGAGTAATAAGCTTGTTCCACTTGTCTTCTCAATTAAACTCAGGATAAATTTCTTACAACTGCTCTTAGTTATCAGGCTCCAAGATGAAAACTTCCATTTGTTTGATTACCTCTGTTGACTTGAGTTGAAACTCTAATGATCACCCAGCTGGATTAATTGAAAAGCTTTACATAAGAGGTATAGGCAGTGACTACTTAAAATCTTAGGGCCCACTTCTCACGGAAGAATACTGCAGAGTCCCTGCTGTGCCTCCTGAATCCCACTCCCTGCTAATGCAGAGCCTGGGAGGTGGCAGTGATGGAAACCGGGATGGAGTCTCCAGCTCCAGGGTTCACCATTACCAGCACTTGGAGAGTGAATGAGCAAATTCTTAAAAATACGTTTGTTAATGCTGTTAAACATTTTTAAAATATTTCTATTGAAAAGACCAGATTTACACAGAGAAGGTGAGACAGATCTTCCATCTGCTGGTTCATTTCCCAAGTGATCACAATAGCTGGATCTGAGCCAATCCAAAGCCAGGAACTAGGAGCTACCTCTGGGACTCCCACATGGGTGCAGGGTTCCAAGGCTTTGGGCCAACCTCCACTGCTTTCCAGGGCCACAGGCAGGAAGCTGAATAGGAAATGGAACAACCAGGACACAAACTGTCACTCGTGGGATCCTGTTTCATGCAAAGTGATGATTTAAGGCATTGAGCCATCACTCTAGACCCTGTTTAAACCTTTTAGAGTGACTCCTTGAGCATTTGCCTAAGGGAAGTTCATAATTCCTGAATGATTAATGCTATTTCTAGAGCTTGATGTATGGTTAGCTACTCCTTTGATGTTTGTGACTTTTTAGATTAAGGAATTATATGGTTTTTAAAACTCCATTGTTTATTTAAAAAGCCAGATTCATAGGATAGAGCTTTTCCATCCACTGGCTCACTTTTCCAAATGGCTCTAATTGCTGGAGCTGGGCTGGTCAGAAGTCAGAAGAATCTTCTAGGTTTCCCATGTGGTTGCAGGAGCCCAAGGACTTTAGCCATTTCCACTGCTTTCCCATGTTGTAAGCAGGGAGCTGGATCAGTCATGGAAAAGTCAGGTCACAAAGAGGCGCCCACATGGGATGCCAGCTCTTGCAGCAAAAGATTAGCTTAGTGTACCACCGTGCTGGCCCTGGTTATTTAGATTTTTAACAAAGAAACCTCAAAACTGTTATTTACTAAAGAGAGAGATTTTCATTAAATAGAACCAATCCTTGGCTTTAAGCTTAAATTGCTCCACTAAGGCTCCCACTCCACCACTCACTACCCCCCTTTTTTACAGTATAGTCATATTATAATGTTTACATGGGATGCATACTCATGTGGACCATCGATCCGGGTATGGAGGATTGAGGAATCGGGGAGGGTGGATAAGACAACTACTTCCAATCTCCTTTTTTCTTCTGGTGTCTGTGGAAAGTGGAGAGAGGGGAGGGCTGTTTGCAGCAAGTTGGCTGCATCATACCCAGGAATGGGGGAAGGCCACTGGATGTGAAACATGTTTTGAAAAATGGTAGGCTTCACAATTTTCATGTCATCCTTGCACAGGGGCTGTGCTAATCTTCTATGTGTTTAAATTTTATTGTATGTGCTGCTGAAGTGAGCACCCACCCCTTTTTTAAAGGCAAAAGTATAGCCAGATCTATTTGTTGGTTCATTTCTTAGATGGGCACAGCAGCTAGGACTGTGCCAGCCTGAAGGCAGGAACCAGACACTCCATCTGGGCCTGCCATGTGGATATAGGGACCCATCTTGGCCATCACCTGCTTTTCCAGGTGCTTTAGCAGGAGTTGGATGAGAAATGGATCAGCCGAGGCTGGGACCAGGCACACGGATGGCATGCTGTTGTCATCTTAACATTCCTAAATGCCACAAAGGATACCTTAAAAAGTTTGTGAGGAAATCAGCCTTGTGTTGGAATGGATTCATCCAGTACCTGAGATGCCAACATCCTATATGTTGCTGAAGCACCTGGGATCGAGGGAAGCAGCAGAACATGGTCTTAGAGTTTGGGCCCTGCCACTCAGATATGGCCAACCCAGATAAAGCTGCTGTCTCCTAGTTTAAGCTAGGCCCAGTCTTGGCTATGTGTCCATCTGGGAAATGAACCAGCACAGCCTCTGGCTCTCCCTCTCTTGGTAACTCTGGCTTTCAGATAAATGGTTCCCAAACAAATGTGGAAGATGTAGTTATTATTTTGATGTGAGAATGTTTGTGTAGTTTTTTCATAATCTTAATTTTACCCTTTTTAGTTTAGTAACTTCCTGTTGTTATGGCATAGGATTTGGGTTCCATCATACCCATCCTAGTCTCCCATTCAAAAGAATTGTTTTCAGGGGCCAGTATTGTGGCTTAACAGACACTGTTCCAGTGCATGTGAAGCTGGCATCCTATATGTGTGTCAGTAAGCCTCAGCCCACTTCCTATCCAGCTCCCTGCTAATATAACTGGGAAAGCAGCAGAGGATGGCCTGAGACTCTGGGGATCCTGCACCCAAGTCGGAGACCTATGTGAAGATTCCTGACTTTGGCATGACCAAGCCCCAGTTGTGGCATTTGGGAAGTGAACCAGTGGGTACAAGTCATGTTTTTGCCTCTCTCCTTCAGTAATTCCGCCTTTCAACTAAATCTTTTAAGACTGCTGTTACTGTTGGGACCGGTACATTAACATACCAGGCTGATTCTTGTCCGGTGGCTCTGACATCTCATATGGGCTCCAGTTCTAATCCCTGTGGCTCCACTTCCAATCCAGTTCCCTGTTATTGGCCTGGGAAAGCAGCAGAGGATGGCTCAAGTCCTTGTGCCCTGCACTCATGTGAGAGACCTGAAAGAAGCTCCTGACTCCTCTCAGCTTTGAATCAGCTCTGCTTTGGCCATTGCAGCCATTTAAGGATTGAATCCACAGATGGAAGACCTCCCTCTGCCTCTTCTCTGTAAATCTGGCTTTCAAATAAAAATATTGTTTTACTAATCAGTTTTTGCTCGTGAGAGTGTTGATCGCTGAGTCAAATGGTTTGTCAGTACGTCTAATATCTTGTTTCTCAAAACAACAAAACTCTGAAAGATGATCAAAACATATTCCAGAAGGGTCACAGAGCAGTTCAAGGAAATTGTCCCAGAGAAATGAAAACAAAAAATAGAGACAGGAAGCAAACGCAAATGAAAAATTACAGTAGTGTTAGAATTCTATTAATAATAGAAATAATAGGAAAAGAGAAAACTATGGCTGTTTTCAAAGAAATGTATGACAGTTTCCCTGATCTGAAGGAAACAATTCTGTAACCTGGAGAGTCTGCCAAGTGCCCAAAGGTTCAGCTGCTTCATATCCCGGCAGGCTCTAGTTTTCACATCTGTGCAACAAAACCTCATTAATTTGAAAGTTGTATAACACTGTGTGCACCTTTGCATGTTGGTCCCTTGGTTTTAGTGTCAACGTTTGCCTTTAAGGAATGGCTGTGAAAGAGTCCCAGGGGAAGGAGATGTTGGCATTCTCAGATACAGTTCTAACTCCCTGGTGTCCAGCCGCCTTGCATGTCAGGAAGCGCTCCTGTGAGCCCACTGCTGGCTAACGCAGCACTGCAGTCTAGGTTTTCAGGCACTCACAGACCATTTCCTGTTACAGCTTCCTTGTGAAATACAAGACTTTGATTCCTAGCTTTTATCCCAAGCATTTTTGGGTTTGGGCAGAACTAATGTCTAAAATGTGGTTGGTAGGTAGGTAGGGATTTGGTGTTTTCCATTGACTATACAGTATACAAGTAACTCGAATTGAGCAATTGAGAGGGGAACAGCAGGGAGGAAACAGACCATTCTTCAACACCGAGATTACCTGAGTAACAGTTGCTTTCTATATCCACTTTCATCCTAATGAAAACTAGGAGGTAGCACCTGATAGCTCAAGCACTTGGGTTTCTGCTACTCATCCTGGGAGACCAGATTTGAATTGCTGTGTCTGGCTTCCCACTTAGGTGGCAGGAAACCAAGTCCTTCAGTCATCACCTGCTGCCTTGCAGGGTGTGCTTAGCAGGAAGCTGGAGGAAAAGCCCAGCACTGTCTTAAACCAGGTACTTCCATAGAGGATGTGCACACACCAAGCAGTGACCTGACTGCCAAGCCAAAGGCCATCCTGCTTCCCTCATACTTCTCTTTCCCTGCAATGGTGGCTTTGGGTACTTACCACAGGGATAATTGAGAAGTGTATGTTCACGTCTAGGTTTGCAGAAAAGCCAAAGGAGTGAAAGGACTTGCTCAGCATTTCCCAGCTGAAATTCTGGCCTTTGTACTAGTTGCAGTGTTGAATCGTTAATAATCAGTCAATGGAAGGAGAACACAGGTGCCTGCCTTCAATTCTCAAATCAGTAAGGGACTTAGCCTAGCATGGCTCTTCCTGGATGTTCCTGGCCAAGAGCCTTTCAGGGGGTGCTGCTGCTGGTGATAGTCTCAAACAGGTGTGTTCCTGGTGAAAAGGCCATGCTTGCCATTGCCCTGCTATATATCCAGCTTTTTGCCGCCTTTTTGGAAGAATTTAAGTATAACCATCTGTCCAGAGACAAAATTCTTTGGTTTTGAATCCAATTCAATGTCAGCAAGGCCATATTCTTCAAGGGAGTAGGGATGTGGGAACAAATCCAGGTGACTCCCCAGGTTATGCTCCAGAAAGCCCATGTTCTTGCCTTTTTGTTTTATTTTGTTTATTATTATTATAATAATATACTATTTAATTGTTTTTGCTTGCATTTATTTGAAGGGGAGAGAAAAATGTCTTGCATTTACTGGTTCATCTCCCCAAATGCCCACAACAACTGGGGTTAGAACAAACTAAAGCTGAAGCTTCAGGCCAGAACCACAATCGGGGTCTCCCGTGGGAGTGGCAAGTACACACAGGTACTTCAGCCATCATCTGCTGCCTCCCAGGGTGCACATGACGTAAAGCTAGAACCCAAACTCGCACTCCAATATAGGATGTTGATGCCAAATGTCCATCCCTGATACTTTTCCCCTTCAAAAAATAATTTAAGGCCTTAGGGTGATGGCTCAATGGCTAAATCATTGTAAGCACTGGGATTTTGTTTGGGTGTCAGTTCATGTTTTGGCTGATCCGCTTTCCATCCAGCTCCCTGCTTGTGGCCTAGGAAAGCAGTAGATGATGATCCAAAGCCTTGGGACTGTGCACCTGTGTGGGAGACCTGGAAAAAGCTCCTGGCCCCTGAATTTGGATCAGCTCAGCTCTGGGCATGGTGGTCATTTGGGGAGGGAACCAGCAGATGGAAAATCATATTAAAAATAATAATTTAAGTATTTAATAGAGAAATACATTCCCAGTGTTTGTTGATTCCAGCACTTTGGATAACAAGCTCCTTAACGCTGTAAGTTCCCATCCAAAGGGAAAACTATTACAGGAGCCAGCGTGGTAACTCATAGGCTAATCCTTCACCTCCAAGCACTGACATTCCAAATGGGCAGTTTGTGTTCCGGCAGCTCCACTTCTGGTTTGGCTCTGTTTATGGTCTGGGAAAGCAGCAGAGGATGGCCCAAGTCCTTGGGTCTCTGCACTCACATGGGCAATCAGGAAGACGCCTCTGGCTCCTGGTTTCTGATCAGCTCAGCTCTAGCAGTTGTTACCACTAGGGGAGTGAACCCCTGTGTGGAAGCTCTTTATATCTCTTCTCTGTAGACCTGTCTTTCCAATGAAAAATAATTTTTTAAAAGGAAACTTATGGTTTCTGTGTTTTAAGGCATTTCTCTGGATCACATTGGGATACTCATCAGTTGTACTGTTAATAACTTTTTTTTAAAGATTTATTTTTATTATTTTTTTTATTGGAAAGGCGGATATACAGAGAGGAGACAGAGAGGAAGATCTTCCGTCCGATGATTCACTCCCCAAGTGAGCGCAACGGCTGATGCTATGCCAGTCCGAAGCCAGGAGCCTCTTCTGGGTCTCCCACGTGGGTGCAGGGTCCCAAAGCTTTGGGCCGTCCTCGACTGCTTTCCCAGGCCACAGGCAGGGAGCTGGAAGGGAAGCAGAGCTGCCGGGATTAGAACCGGTGACCATATGGGATCCCGGGCGTGCAAGGCGAGGACCTTAACCACTTGTGCCACCGCGCCGGGCCCTGTTAATAACTTTTCCAGCAAAATGAATATTAAATGTTTTTCAAAATCTGTACAAAATTGTCAGGTCATTTAAAAATAATACTGCCTTGCCTATACTTTTAGTGACTATTGTTCAACTTGATTATTCAAATGTACCTATACGTTTTTGTGCCACATTAATTAAAATCAATTGATGGAATAAGACCACGGGGCAGGAGGAAGTTAAGCAATTCTTCTTGCAGAAATCAATTGTAAAACCTGGAAAAAATTAGAAAAATATCTGAAACCGAATCTTTCATCATGAATCTATATGCTTTCTGTCAGGACTTCAAGCCCTAATTATTTGTCTCTCACCATTACAGCGAAGCCTTGTAAGAGAAAAGTTGTTCACATTAAAAAAAAAAAAAAGGCTTTAAAAAGATTGGAAAAACAGAGTTACAGAAAATAGAGATCTTCCATCTGCTGGTTCACTCTCCAAATGGCCACAACGAGCGCTGGCCCCTCAAAAAATAGTTAAACAGAACCTCAACAGTTGAGGCTGTCGTCTCTTTCCAGACTTGCCAGAACAACAGGTTTACAGCAGAAGATTTCCTGCAGGGCAACCCGTTAGAACCGGGTCTCTCACTCCTGGAGAAGTCTTCCCAGAAGGGGAGGACGGGACACAGTCAACGAGGCCATCGCTGTCCCGAATGGTACAATCATGGACTAGCACAGGATGGAAGAGCTCCGGCGCGCAGCCGGCGGGGACGTGCGGCCCCGCAGCAGCCGCCTGGGGGAAGGCGAAGGAGCGCGGACCGCCGGAAGCGAAGGCCCGCGGCGCCACGCCCACGCGCCCCGAGCCGTTACTCGCTCGTCCCGCCTCCCGCACGAGGTGTGGGCAAGGCTGCAGGCGAAAGGGCACAGCGGGGAGATGACGCAGTAAGCGAGCGCCTGCGTCGCCGCAGCAGGTCCCGGGGAAGCTCGGCGGCGGCGGCGGCGGCGGCGGCGGTCGTGGCTGCCGTGGAGCAGGCCGGACCCCCACGCTCGCTGGCGGAGCTTCCCCGAGCGCTGGACGAACGCGGAGCCGCTGTGTGGGGCAGCCTCCGCGTCGGGGCTGACAGCAGGACAGGTGCGGGCAGCGCGGGGACCGAGGTAAGCGGGAGCCGGGGGGACTTGGCCGAATGACGGACGGGGCGACCGCCTGACGGAGCTGACTGGCCATTGCCGCGCCACCTCAGCGCCCTGGCCGGGAGGCCGCAGCCACTGCCCTCCCCCACGCCCGAGCCCGAGGCTGCGATGTCTCCCCGCGGGTGGAGAGGGAGCTCGCCCCAAGGGACCGCTGCCCTCGCCCCTTCCTCCCCGGCGCTAGCGGCGCGACGCTGGCGGCCGAGCCTGCGAGCGCCCCCGGCTGCTCTCTGGAAGCCCGGGAGAGCTCGGAGAGGAAGCGCTGCTGCTAGGGGCCCCTTCCGACTCGGGAAGTCACGTTTTTTTTTTTTTTGTTTGTTTGTTTGGACAGTGCCGCCTCCTTGCTGCCTCGATTTCTCCCCCGTCACTCTGGTACCATTGAACATCAGGAGGTGGGAACCTGTCTTTCTAGTCTGTCTGCTAGGCCGAGTCATCACCCCCCTCCTCCCCCAGCCTTTCTTGGGCGGCAGCTCATTTGGGGATTGCGGAGAGGATGTGGGGTCCCCCGAAGAGCTGAGTTGAAATCTTCGCAAGCCAGTTTCAGTTTCATGGTAGACTTTTTTCGACGTTTTCACAGCTTTCTTACACCTCTGTAAATTAGTTGGGGGAAAAAAATGAAGAAAAAGAACAGTAGTCATGAAGTGGTCTTTGCCCATTTAGTGGATTTAACAGTAACCCTAACACGTAATGGTGGACCCCTAACTGGGTGTTAGGTCTTCTTGTTACCAGTAACAACTAACAAGCTTGCGTGGAGAAAGGTGCTGGAAGACCTGGGAGCTTGTGTGGTCGGAATGCCAACGTTATTGGTCCATGAAGACTGAAAGCAATCAGGCTTGCTTCGTACCCACCGTGGCTTCTGCCCAGTGAACCTTATGTCGGAGAAGCCGTAAGAGGCTTCCGTCAGAGGAAAATCGCTTGAGCATGTTTCTGAGGACCCCTATTTAGCCTGTGATGCATTTCCCGTTGAGTGAAGACCCCTCCTTCAGCCTGTGATACATTCAGTGAAGACTCCTCTTTCAGGCTGTGATACAGTTCCCATTTAGTGAAAGGCAAGAGAGTAAGTTCTTGGAGTGACATGTACATTTCTAAGTTAACTTGAGGAGATGGTTTTCTATGCTGAATATTCATCACTGTGAAGTTTTAATTTTTTTTAGAAGATTATGTTTAGGGCCTGGCACAATAGCGTAGTGGTTAAAGTCCTTGCATTGCATGCGCACCTGGGATCCCATATGGTTGTTGGTTCTAATCCTAGAGGCCCCACTTCCCATCCAGCTCCCTGCTTGTGGCCCGGGAAAGCAGTCGAGGATGGCCCAAAAACCTTGGGACCCTGCACCCGTGTGGGAGACCCGGAGAGCTCCTGGCTCCTGGCTTCAGATCGGCACAGCACTGGCTGTGTGTCACGTGGGGAGTGAACCATCAGACGGAAGGTCTTGCTCTCTGTCTCTCCTCCTCTCTGTATATCTGACTTTCCGATAAAAACAAATAAATCTTTTTTTTAAAAAAAGATTTTTTTATTGGAAAGGCAGAGCAGATTTATGGAGACAAGGAGAGAGAGATTGTCCATCTGTTGGTTCACTCCTGAATGTTCCACTTCCCAACCCAGTTCCCTGCTTGTGGCTTGAGAAACTAGTACAAGATGGTCCAAAGCCTTAAGACCCTGCACCTGTATGGGAGACCAGAAGAAGCTCCTGGGTCCAGGCATCAGATGGGCTTAGCTCCGGCCTTTGGTAACCATTTGTAGAGTGAACCAGCAGATGGAAGATCGCTCTCCTCTATTGGTGGTGACTCCCTAGGTGGCCAGAGATAGATAGGTCTGAAGCCAGGAACTTATTCTGGGTTTCCCACTTGGGTGCAGGGGCCCACATACATGGGCCATCCTTTACTGCCTTCTCAGGCATATAAGCAAGGAGCTGGTTCAGAAGTGGAGTAGCCAGGACAGAAATTGGCACTCCTATAGGATGCTGGCACCACATGCAGAGGCTTGATGTATTACACCGTGGTGCTAGCTACATTTTTTTTAAAAGATTTATTTTATTTTTATAGGAAAGTCAGATATACAGAAAGGAAGATCTTCTGTCCATTGATTCTCTCCCAAAGAAGCTGCAATGGCCGGAGCTGAGCCAGTCCGAAACCAGGAGCCTGGAACCTCTTCTGGGTCTCCCAAGCGGTTGCAAGGTCCCAAGGTTTTGGGCCCTCCTCGACTGCTTTCCCAGGCCACAAGCAGGGAGCTGGATGGGAATTGGGGCCTCCGGGATTAGAACTGATGCCCATATGGGATTCTGGGCATGCACAGCGAGGACCTTAACCTCTATGCTATCACGCCGGGCCCACACATTTTAGTTTTAAAAATGCCCAGTGCTGTGGATTTGCAAGGCTGACTGGTTGAACCCACCTCCCCACCCCTAGGGGTCCATCTGCCCTGATTGAACTTTTCCCTGTAGCTTGCCCAGCCTTTGCCTGTAGCCAGCCACTGGATCCCTCTGGAATGCTGAGTCCCTTCCACGCCTGCAGCTCGTGTGGTCTTTTGACAAGGGCATCCCAGGGCCTGGGAGCAGGCTATGGTGCCAGGTCCTTTCTGTTTCCTCTTGGAAGTGGGAGTTGGGGGGAGTCCTCCCTCACCAAGGGCAGTGGCGTTAACGTGTCAGAGTTGACCCGTGGTGCTGGCATAGAAAGACCCTGCACCCAGGCGTGAATGGGCCACTGTGGGAGCGTCCCTGCTGGGCCAGGGCAGCCAGCGAGGGCAGTTTACCTAAAAGGTATGGAAGAGACAGAGCCATCCACCTTGGCCATGGGAGAATCAGGCTGCTCTAACTTAGCACTCCCCTCCTAGCACCTGGGGTGGCTCCTTAGGAGAGCGTGCAGCCCCCCCAGTCAGGCAGGGTGCAGGGTGCAGGTGGGGACCCCACTCAGGCTCTTAGCTTCCCCAAATCGCCGTCAGCTCGTTCTGTTTTGTTTTTTATTTTTGTTTTTGTTTTTTTTTTTGATCATTTAAAGGGAGAAAAATTATTATTATTTTTTTTCCACGGAAGTTGTTACCAGTAGCTGTGTTAAACTGTGTTGAGCATCAGGCCTGAGAGCACCACAGGGCGAGAAGCTTGGTGGTGGGTGGGGCTGCCTGGTGACCCTGGGGGCCACCTGCTCCCCACCTTGCATGGTAGATGGCTAGCTGCTTTGTACCCTAGCGTGTTTGAAGTTCCGTTTTTGTTTGCTATGAAATACTTGATTTTTTTTTTCAGATACCTTTTTTTTTTTTCATTTTAACTTTGTTTTCACCTGGGTTTGTCTCCAATAAAATCTAACGACTACTGTCCAAAAGTCAACAATAAATGAATCCTGCTGTGTTCTTTGAAGGATGCTTCGATGTGACTGCCTTTTTTTAAAGAAAAAAAATATTTTCAGAAAGAAAAAAATAAAGTCTATCGGTTTTCCATCTCCTCTCCCCCCTGCCTCTCTTTTTTTTTTCCATGTGAATAAATGTTCTTTAGTGTTTTAGGAGGAAGAAGCAAACATAGATTTTGATAAATCCGAAGATTTCAGATTAATAACGAAGCTTTGAAAGAAGACCATTTTTCGAAATTTTAGTGAAGTGTGAATATTTTTTGTCAATGGCTTTCTCAAAGACAATGAAACTTTTTTGCACCATTTTCAGAGTTTTTATAGAGATGCCAAATTTATATGTTTACATGTAATGGAAACGTGAAAAAAAAAGTATTAAACAATTATTCATAAAAAAATAAATAAAAATGCCCAATGATGCCCAACTAACTGGTTTTCTTTCTTATTCTTAAGAAAAAGTCAGATTTAGAAGGAAAAACATTTTTTTTCAAAGATTATTTTTATTGGAAAGTCAGATTTGCAGAGAGGAGGAGAGATACAAAGAGAAATATCTTCCATCTGCTGGTTCACTCCCCAGGTGTCTGCAGTGGCCAGAGCTGAGCTGATTTGGAGCCAGGAGCTAGAAATCATTATTCACTGGCTTACTTTCCAAATAGCTGGTCCAAAGGTGGGAGCCAGTAGTCTCCTCTGCGCTTCCCATGTGGGTGTAGAGGCCCGAGGACTTGGGCCATCCTTTGCTTCTTTCCCATACCACTAGCAGGGAGCTAAATCACAAGTGGAGCAGCTGAGACATGAACTGGTGCCTATGGGACGCTGGAGGCACAGACAGAGCATTAGTTTGCTGTACCACCTTGCCAGTCCCATATGTGAATTGCCAAGCAACTTTACTTGACTCAGTAGTACTAGTTTAAATTTTATAATACCTTCTTCCAAGAAGGGAGAGAACAGTCCTAGTTAGTAGCTCTGTGTAAATCTGTTTTTGGTAGACTTATATGCTAAGCCTTCAAAAAACATGAGAGAATTCCAATTTAAAGAATGTTTTGCTTTTGTTCTGGCTTAATGAACCCAGAGCTCTAGATACGGGCTTTTTCCTCCATTCTCATCTCAGTAAGTATGACCTTATTACTAGTGCTTTGCTGTTGGACTCTGCTTCTCTAATTGCTTTAGAACATCTGGTTTAATTAGGGCTGAACTATATACCCAACAATATACATCCACATTGATTTCTTAATCTCGTCATATTCAACATGTTAAAATCTAAGGACATACTTAATGTAACCTTTCCTCATTCTGCCCCAGTTGTGTTCCACATGAATAATAACCATTGTGTCCGAGAGCTCACATTAGATTCTCATATTAGGCACTTCACTTTTTTTTTTTTTAAAGATTTATTTTATTTTTATTGCAAAGGCAGATATACAGAGAAGAGAGACAGAGAGGAAGATCTTCCGTCCAATAATTCACTCCCCAAGTGAGCGCAACGGCCGATGCTATGCCAATCCGAAGCCAGGAGCCTCTTCCGGGTCTCCCACGTGGGTGCAGGGTCCCAAAGCTTTGGGCCGTCCTCGACTGCTTTCCTGGGCCACAGGCAGGGAGCTGGAAGGGAAGCAGGGCTGCTGGGATTAGAACCGGCGCCCATATGGGATCCCGGGCGTGCAAGGCGAGGACCTTAACCACTGCGCCATCGCGCCGGGCCCAACTTCACTTTTTTTTTTTTTAACATTTATTTTATCTGGAAGGCAGAGTAACAAACAGAAAGAGGAAGAGGCAGAGAAATGTTTTCCATGTGACTCTGGATGGAATCAGATGTAGCAAGAAACTTCTGTGTCTTCTGCATGGGTGATAGGAGTTCAAGCACTTGGGCCATCTCCCACTGCTCTCGTAGGAGCTGAATTCAAAGTGGAGCAGCCTGGATTCAGGAATTCAAACTAGTGCCCATTTGGGATGCAGGAATTAAGGTGGCAGCTTAACCTGCTGTGCCAGAATGCACCCCTACCGTCTCCGCCCAACATGCAGGTTTTCTGCACATGCTGTCATTTTGTTGTCCTGAAAAATCTTAGGATTAGTTTACTTTGCTACATGTTTCCAGTTTTGTCCCTTAGTATAAGTGGCTATCACAGCATGCCTACATTCGCCAGTAATAACCTCTTAAGATTTCTTTTTGCCAATGCCTTCTCTCACTCACCTTTCTCTCAGTGCACACTGCAGATAGGATGATCTTTTCTAGACTATTGAGGTCTTGTACTCTTTTTTTTTTTTTTCTTTCAGTGCTTTCACAGCATCCATATGTTGAAAGAACAGTGTTATTGAGTTAGCTTCTTTTCTAGGTCTACATCTTGAGTGCTTCTTTTAAAAAAACAAAACAAAAACAAAAATGCTCCAATGGTCTTTTTATTATTTTTTTTTTATTTTTAAGAAAAATAATGGAGGCTTTAATTGTGTTCACACTTTTTCACAATATGCATTTTCATTAACATTTTTTATCAATTTTTTAACTTTTTCCATTTTTTTATTTTTGGCAATTTTTACATAATTAGCGTAAAAAGGTTCAAGGGCTACAAGAAAGTGGGTCTTTTTATTATTTTAAATTTTTATTGAGGGCCCGGTGTGGTGGCGCAGTGGTTAAGGTCCTCGCCTTGCACGCCAGGATCCCATATGGGCGCTGGTTCTAATCCCGGCAGCCCCGCTTCCCATCCAGCTCCCTGCCTGTGGCCCAGGAAAGCAGTAGAGGATGGCTCAAAGCCTTGGGACCCTGCACCCGTGTGGGAGACCCGGAAGAGGCTCCTGGCTTCGGATTGGCATAGCATCGGCCGTTGCGCTCACTTGGGGAGTGAATTATTGGACGGAAGATCTTCCTCTCTGTCTCTCTTCTCTGTATATCTGCCTTTGCAATAAAAATAAAATAAATCTTTTTTAAAAAAATGTTTCTATTTTCCATCCTGTGTCTATTGCGCGCACGAGAGAGCGAGCACCCCTCCACCTTGTCATACTACATATGTGCCTGGAAAGGGGGATTGTTACATGATAGCACCTCCAGGTCCAGGGTGGAGGATAGTACTTCCTGGGTGAAAGGTCATTTGACTGATAGGTGATGAGATTTAGAAAAAAGCAGAAGTTTGGTTTCTGGTTCCTGACACTAAGCCTAGGTATCTACCTATATTGTTTCATTGCCCCCTCAGAGATTTCCAACTCTTAATCTAAAGTGGTTACTGAAGGTTGCAGTTTGATTGCATATACTGTAGTTGACTTCTTGCTAATTAGGGGTGTAGGGCTTTGCCTGTCTAGGAATCAGACCTCTATCTCATCTAATGGATTCCTTGCATGAGCTAAAGAACTAACAACTGTCTCACATAATTTTCATCATTGCTCTGAGGCGTTGATTTCTCTACACAGGAGTCAGCAATGTAGATGGTCTAATCATGGCAATTTGTGTACTGAGGCCAGGCCACACACCCATGGTTCTGATTCCTGAGATTGGAGATCTTGACGTGTCTGATAGCAACTTGAGATGAAATGATGAGCCACTTGCCAATGCCAAAAGCCATTGGTGGGTCTTCTCCTACAGTGAGTGCAATGGCCTGGCTTCAGGAATCCCACAGTGTTGGTCCTCTGGGTTCCCTACTTAGTCCACCCCAGCCTTAGTTTTCGTGTGTACTGGCAGGTACAGTTGCCTGGCTCAGGAAGGCCTGTGACTACTGTTCTGCCCACATCAAAACCCATCAGGGATTCCCACCCCAACCCAGGAATCCTAGCAAGCACTGGCAGCAGACTGCTCATCTCTCCACCTTTTGCAGATTTAATGTTAAAGAACAGGCAGTTATAAACACTGATATAATTAATGCAGATCTCATGAGCCAGGTACAGAATGCCAGTGTTCTGGCACTTGCCTAGCTACAGGGCAGCCTAAGCTGTTGCCTACAGCTAGGGTCAACCCTTAATCTTAGGGTTGCTAAAGGATATAGATTCATCACATCTTCTGGTGTTACTGCCTGCTTTTTAGATGCATGGACTTGTCCAACCTAGGCTCAATAATCTGAGCTAATGGGTTCCTCTCATAAGCCAAAGAATTTCCAGTCAGTTTCATTGGCTGTGTCTCCCTTATTGTTGTTGTTCTGAAAAGTCCTCTACATTTTTTAAAAAAGATTTATTTATTTTTATTGGAGTCAGTATACACAGAGGGGGAGAGACAGAGAGGAAGATCTTCTGTCCGATGATTCACTCCCCAAGTAACTGCGATGGCCAGAGCTGAGCCAATCTGAAGCCAATAGCCAGGAGCTTCTTCCAGGTCTCCCATGCGGGTGCAGGTTCCCAAGGCTTTTGGGTCATCTTTAACTGCTTTTCCAGGCCACGAACCAGGAGCTGAATGGGAAATGGGGCACCCAGGATATGAACTAGGACCATATATAGGATCCTGGTGTGTTCAGTGTGAGGACTTTAGCCACTGAGCTACTGTGCTAGACCCAGTTCTCCATTTTTGCACAAGTCAGCAACAGGGGTGGTGTAATCATGTAATTTGTGCACCAAGAACAGAGCACATACTCATGGGCCATAGTCCTTCAGATTGGAGATCCTGACCTGTCTAAGGCTAATAGGACATGAAAGCAGTGGCTACTTACTGGCATCAAAAGCCATTAGTGGACCTTCCCCATATTGAGTGCTGCAGTCTGGCCTAGGGAGCCCTGGCGTACCAACCATTTAGGCCCCTGGCCTAGCCCACCCTCAGCATCAACTCTCTGATGCATAAGCAGGTGAACCACCTGACCTGGAAAGGCCCGTGGGACATTCCTTCAGACACCCTGCCTGGCTTGCTCCCAGCCCAGGCTCTCCACCCCCACCCCCTCACTGATTCCATGCCTGGTAACAGTGTCAGCCCCATTTTGCATTTAAAAAATCCATGTTTTGGTGCCCAGCACATAGCCTAGCAGCTAAAGTCCTTGCCTTAAGTGCACCAGGATCTCATATGGGCACTGGTTTGTATCCCAGTGGCTCTGTTTCCCATCTAGCTCCATACTTGTGGCCTGGGAAAGCAGCTGAGAATGGCCCAAAGTCTTGGGACACTGTACCCTCGTGGAAGACCCAAAAGAGGCTTCTTGCTCTTGGCTTCAGATCGGCTCAACTCTGGCTGTTGCAGCCACTTGAGGAATGAATCATCAGACCAGAGATCTTCCTCTGTGTCTCTCCTCCTCTCTGTATATCTGACTTTGCAATAAAAATAAAATAAGTCTTTTTTTTTTTTTTTTTTTAATTTAAGTTTTGGGACTTGGTTAAAATCACTTTGCTAATGAGAAACAGGGCAAACTTAAAAATGTCCTTGATTCTCTGCCCTATACAGTGTGTTAAGAAACTGACTACATACTGGGAAAAGATTCTAAAATTTGTGTTGGAGCAGGAGTAAAGAAAATAAAATCTTCTTGGATACACATATCTTCCATCTACCTCAGTTTTCATTGTGATGAAAACCTTGGTTAGGAGGGATTTCGTTAGATCTGAAAGCCTAATTTGAAATATCTTTACTTTTGTTTTCATGTTCTACCTTAATTGATATGTATATAACTTTATTGTCTTTTTTTTAAATCAAATTGTAATTTTTAATCAAAATTTAATTTTTTGTTTTCTTCTTTACAGCTGCATCCAAGCTTCATTATGTATCAGAAAAATGAAAAAGCAGAGGAAAATTCTATGGAGGAACAGAATCCATGTAGCTTTTTCTGAGAAATGGAATACTGGGTTTGGAGTCTTTAAAAAATTCTATCTTCACCAACACTTGTACATTCTGAAAACTAAGTTGGGAAGGCCAATTACTTATAATAGACTGTTAAGACAATTCCAGAATAAAAAGAAGGACCTTCAAATCCAGAAATCGTGGATCCAGGATGAACCACTTTGTGCTAAGACCAAGCCTCGTGTGGCTGCTGAGAATGTTAGTGCTTTTTCCTCGAAAGTGAAAAGAAAGGACTGTAAGCCCTTAATCTCTTCTTCAAGGAGTCTCTTGAAAGTCCAAACAGAGAAATTGCTGTCATCAGCTAAGAACTCTGACTATGAGCACTGTGGAGAGAGAAGTCTCTTGGAAGCAGTTGCTGACTTGCCAGCAAATGGTCTTTTAAGTCAGGCCAGTGGTCGCAGACCTAGGAAGGAGCCACAAGCTTCTGACTTTCCCATGAAGTTCCAAGGGGAGAGCCAAAGTCCAGGTGAGAGTGGCACGATTGTGGTCACCTTGAGCAACCATAAGAGAAAGCGCTTTTGTTATGGTTGCTGCCAAGGGCTGGAACATCACAGGAATGGGGTCCCCCTGATTCCAAAAAAGTTTCAACTTAATCAACATAAGAGAATAAAGGTGTCTCCTCTTATGATGTTTGAGAAATTATCCATGATCAGATTTCGGTACAGGATTCTGAGATCCCAGTACTTTAGAACGAGAGGCAAAGTTTGCAAACTGAGGAAAGCCCAGAGAAGCTGGGTACAGAAGGTCACTGGGGACCATCAAGGAACACTTAGGGATAACAGTGAGGGTGGCACTTGTAGTCCATTCCCTTCTCCAGAAGAGAAAGACACTTCTTGCTGGCATCAGCCGTACTTTCCAAATATGGACAGCAGTGCTTTGGTGAAGGGGAAGAACTCCCATGTGCCTGATGGCCAAATTAAAGGAAACCCTTTTTTGGGCAAGGAGCATCATTTAGATGAAGCATTCTCTGACCAACAAAATGGCAGTGCTCCATACACCTGGGACCAGTCACCCTGTTCCTCTCCAAAGTGGGAGTGTGCAGAGCTGATTCATGATACCCCCTTGTCAGAACATCATTCTGGTAACATGTTCATCTCGGAAACTGAAGGAGAGACTGTGACTTTGGTTCAGGAAAATCAAACAAGTGCCGAGAGTGAGGACAGAATACCACTGTCAGTGTCTGAGACAGACAAATCTGTGAGTCATGTGGATGGGCCTGTGTCTGAAGAAACTGGCCCCCATGAAAACTCACATCACATGGAAGAGGATGGGTCTCTCAAGCAGAATATTCTCAGTTCTAAGTTGCTGGACCACCCTTACTGTAAAAGTCCACTGGAGGCTCCGCTGGTGTGCAGTGAACTCAAGGTAGAGAACCAAGTGGGAGGTGGGAAGAACAGTCAAAAAGCAACTCCAGTGGATGATGAGCAGCTGTCCATCTGCCTTTCTGGTATGCACCCTTACTTTGTTTCTTCAACTTCCAACCCACATTTGGTTTCCATTAACCTTTTAGAAGAATCCTGTACTTTCTACTCATATCTTGCAGCCTTTCATAATGCTGTATTACAGATGCTCTGTAATTTATCAGATCAGTCTTTGATTATTGACACTTGCATTGGTTCCAGTTGTGTCATGCATAAAAGAATGCTGCAATGAAATTATTACTTTCTATGATACTCCCACTATTAGAATTGCTGGTGAAAGTATATAGTCATGCTTTTAACTTTAAGAGAATTATTAAGCTAAATTATCCTCCAAAAGTTTGAACCAGTTTGTATTTGTTAAGCTTTGCCAGTCTTTATTTTCTTTAAGATTTTGTTTTTTAAAAATTTACTAATTTTTATTGAAAGGCAGATTTACAGAGATAGAAGGAAAGACCACGTGTATGCTCAAGAGAAAACAAGTGCTTTTCACACCATATGGCTGTAATGTAGGGTGCTGGGCTGGCCTGAAACCAGGAGCCAGGAGCTTCATCTATGTCTCCGTGTGGATGCAGGGGTCCAAGGATCTGAGCCATCTTCTCTTTTCCTAGGTACATTAGCAAGTAGCTAGGAGGGAAGTGAGCAGCTAAGACTTGAATTGGCATGCATGTGGGATATGAGCACTGCAGGAGGAAGCTTAATCTACCATGGTACTGGTCCCTAAGGATTTTTTTTGTTGTTTTTTGAAAGGCAGTTACAGAAAAGATTGTCTATCCGCTGTTCTTTCCTTAGTGACCATCGTAGCTGGAGCTTGGCCAGGCTAAATAAAGCCAGGAGCCAGAAGTTTCTTTCAGGTCTCCCATGTTGGTTTAGAGGCCCAGGCACTTGACCCATCTTCGCTGCTTCCCTAGGCCATTTGCTGGGGGCTGCATTGGAAGTAGGGGAGCTGAGTCTCAAAAGCGGCACCTACGTGGATTGCCAGCATCAGAGGTGGAGGTTTAGCTGACTCTGCTGGCCCCAAAGCTTTATGAGTCTTACAGATAGTGAGAGAGTTTTAATTTGTTGTTAAGATTGGACATTTGTTTTTATTGGCCAGTTTTTGTTGCTATTTGGCTTTTTCTGTTTTGTTTATGAGAAGCTCCGATGTATCAATCATTCTGTTAGATTCCAAGAAGGTTACAGCAAACAGGATATACTGATTCCTACATTCGTAGACATTGTGTCATTCTTATGGTAATAATGTTAAATTACTAATTATAAATGTCATAGGAATTATACCTCCCAATAGTTAAAAACCTTCAGTATCACAACATGATTTATGATACTGCTTAACAGAAAATTTGAGTTCCTGCACAGAAAATTTATCTTTGATTCCAACACTTCTGTTTTTTTTGGTTTTTTTTTTTTTTTGTCAAAAATACTACATGATATAAATTGCTATATGCACAGTTTTGGAAAATAACATGACAGCTCAACCTTTTATACATTTTTTTCTCCTTGGACTTAATCCTGGGTTTATAATAGTACAAATACTCACATAACTTTGTAGGGGAATTTATGTTACTATAGTAAAAAAAAATTGAAAACAAATCAAAATTTTGGCAATTGTGGAGGAATAAAAGAAATGTAAAAAATTTATTAGAAACTAATAGCTAATACAGGCTTAAGATGTAGAAGAGATTCCACATGTTACCAAAACTATAGAAATTATGAAAAATATTAAAAATACACGTAAGGGTACTTCAAAATCTTGAAACAAAAAATAGAATTAAATGTACTGTGATGCAGAAACTCTTGAAATCCATGCCTAGCTTTTTCACAGCACGTTTCCTGTGACCTCTTTGCAGACGTCTTTGCGTCTCTGTACTCAAAAACAAGGAACTTCTGTGTGAACAGAAACTGAGAAGTTCTCACGAGGTTGAAAGCAAGGGGAATGTCAGAGGGGCAGAAAGCTAGTGCTGGGAAGGGTGCAGTTTGTAGAGTTTTCAATTTTTAAACAATTTCAACTGACAAACGTGTTATGATACATGTTTATGGAGAACTGTGTTCGTTTCATTGTGTCATACACCCAATAGCTGCTGCCTGTAACAGGCCCCTCCTTCCTGCCTCAGCAAAGAGAGATGAGCTCAGATTTATCATCATCATCTGAGAAAAGCAAACCCAATGAAAGACAAAATCAGTAGCAATAGAAAAGTCAACCTGAATAACCAGGACTAATAGAACACTCAGAGCAGGAGTCACCGTACGGCATTCACTGTGGTCCGTGGACGCTTCTTTATTTTTTTAAAGGTTTATTTATTTTTATTTTTTTTGGAAAGTCAGATATACAGAGAGGAGGAGAGACAGAGAGGAAGATCTTTGATCTAATGATTCACTCCCCAAGTGACCACAACAGTCTGAGCTGTGCCAAACCGAAGCCAGGAGCCTCTTCTGGGTCTCCCACGAGGGTGTAGTGTCCCAAGGCTTTGAGCCATCCTTAACTGCTTTCCTAGGCCACAAGTATGCAGCTGAATGGGAAGTGAGGCTGTCAGGATTATATCTGGCACCCGTATGAGATCCTGGCGTGTGCATGGCTAGGACTTTAGCTGCTAGGCCACGGCGCCTGACCATGTGGACGCTTCTTTAACAGACTTCTACAGCATTAGTCAGTATTGAATTCGTTGATGCATTGAATGCTGACTTGTCTCTAACATAACTGCATTATGTGCCTTTTTAAATGACTTACATATTTATTGATTCAGGAAAGTGATTACAGTTTCACAATTTTATCCAGTATCATATTCAGTGATGAAATGTGGGGGTGAACAGATAGTTATTGCGTTCAAAGTCAAGTTGAATGCTTTATAATGACCACTGTTAGCTGCTGTAAAAATTTAATACTGAGTTAGGCTTGTGCAAGATGTTACCAAGATTTGGGAGGAGTATTATTAATATCAAGGATTTTGTACTCAGGTCTTTCTGCAAGTAATCTATAAGTTCTTCATTTCAAGAAGAACAGAAATTCAGTAAGTACCAGAATTAAGGCATATACATACGCAGCCCCCCCCACTACATTTTGTGGAATAAAATTGTAGCACATCAAGGATCATGAGAATACTTGTACCATAATATGTTGTAGATATATTAGAAATTTGATTAGGATAAAATCCAAACATTTAAATAAAAGTTTAAAAAAGAAATTTGGCGGTATAAAGTGCAGTGATACAGTGGGTTAAGCTGTCACGTGGGGCACCTGCATCTCAAATTGGAGTGCAGCTTTTGGGTCCCATCTCCTCTGTTTCCAAGCTGGCTCCCAAAGATGCATCCTGGGAGGCAACAGGTGATGGTAGCAATGCTTGGGTCCACACGGGAAACTGGTTGAAGTTCCAAGCTTTTGGAGTCAGTCTGGCCCAGCCAGGCTGTGTGGTTGTTTGGGAGTGACTGTCAGGTGAGATTTGGCGCCTGGCACAGGAGCCTAGAAGCTAAAGTCCTCGCCTTACATATGCCAGAATTCCATAGGGGTACTGGTTTGTATCCCCGCTGCTTCACTTTCATTCCAGCTCCCTGCGTGTGACTTGGGAAAGTAGTAGAGGAAGACCCAAAGCCTTGGGACCCTGCACCTGTGAGGGAGAACCAGAAGAAGCTCCTGGCTCCTGGCTTCAGATCAGCTCAGCTCTGGGTGTTGCAACCCCTTGGGAAATGAACCAGCAGGTGAAAGATCTTTCTCTCTGTCTTTCCTCTCTGTAAATCTGACTTCGCAGTAGAGACAAATCTTTAAAAAGGAGAGAGATATTATTTAGAACAACATTTTTTTGTATTTATAATGTTTATATATAATCATTGTGATTTGATTAAGTCAGGGTGATACATCTGTGATCTTTAAAGATTTTTTTATTCGCAAGACAGGTTTTTTTTAAGGACTTATTTTTATTGGACAGGCAGATTTACAGAGAGAAGGAGTCACAGAGAGAAAGCTCTTCTGTGTGCTGGTTCACTGCCCAAGTGATTGCATTGGCAGGAGCTGAACTGGTCCGAAACTAGGAACTTCCAGGTCTCCCACGTGGGTGCAGGGTCCCAAAGCTTTGAGCCGTCCTCAACTGCTTTCCCAGGCCACAGGCAGGGAGCTGGATAGGAAGTGCAGCAGACAGGACACAAACCGGTATCCATATGGGGTCCCAATGCCTGCAAGGCTAAGTTTGAGCCATTGAACCATCTTTCTAGACCTATAAAAGGCAGATTTCTAGAAAGAAGGAGAAATTGACATCTTCTGTCCATTGATTCACTCCCCAGATTGCCTCAACAGCCAGAGCTGAGTGGAGCTGAAGCCAGGAGCCTTCTCTCATCTCCCATGTTGGTGCTTAATCCCAAGGACTTGAACCCTCCTCCTTTGCTTCCCCAGCTCATATGCAGAAAGCTCTGTGGGAACTGAAGCAGCCAGGATTTCAACCAGTGTCCATATGAAACAGCAGCTCTGCAAGGCAAAGGGATTAGCCTGTTGAACTTCCACTTTGGCTCATGTATTTTTTTTTAACATTTACTTATTTGAAAGACAAAGTTACAAAGAAGGAAAGATATGCTTTATCTGCTGGTTCACTCCCTGGTTGGCCATAGTGACTGGAACTGGGCCAAGGCAGGAGTTAGGTGCTTCATCCATGTCTTCCATGTGGAGGGCAGGGGACACAGTACTTAAGCAGTCTTGTTATTTCCATACTAATATGAGTGTGTTAGTAGAGAACTGGATCAGATATGGAACAAGTGGGATTCCAACTGGCACTCATATTGGATGCTGACATTTTAAGAGGTGGCTTAATCTATGTGCCACAACACTGGCTCCCTGCAGTACATGTTGAAAATATTTTAGGTTTGTTTTTTCTTTTAAGATTTATTTATGGGGTCCAGGGTGGTAGCCTAGTAGCTAAAGTCCTTGCGTTTCACTTGCCAGGATCCCAAATGAGTGCCAGTTCTAATCCCAACGTCCCCGCTTCCCATTCAGCTCCCTACTTGTGGAAAGCGGTGGTAGATGGCCCAGAGCACTGGGACCCTTGCACCC